ATGCTGCTTAAAACGCGAGCAACTAAGGTGAGACATAATTTAAATGATGTTTTATAGGCCAGTTATAAGTAGTTATAAGTGTGAAAAAAATGTTAAAACTGTAGTGCCATTGAAACACTCTGAACTATCGATTGCTATGATATCTAGCCATTTATATATATATATATAATATGTCATGTATCATCTAACATGTACTGTATCATATACCAAACCTTCCTGGAGCCCAGATATGGTTAACGGATCTTCCATGTCTCCGCAAGGGCAGGTTCCCGAGCCCTCGCCTGCCAGGCCCGCGAACTCCTCAGCGGCGGAGTGCCAGCGTGGGGGATCTGAGACATTGAAAAGGAGACCGGTTTTGGATGCCGATCTTCGGTTTTCATGGTGCTTAAGGGGGATATTAAGGGGGATAATCAAGGGGAATATTTACTGGGATATTTGGGGGATAATGCTTATTTATTGTGGGGGATCTTCGATTGTCATGATTTTCAATGGATATCAAGGGGGATATTTACTGGGATGTATAATCAACAACGTGATGGAACTAACCATCTAACATGGGGATATATATATATACTGGTTGGTGGTGACTGGAACATGGCTTTTATGACTTGCCATATAGTTGGGATGATGATCCAATCTGACTTTCATATTTTTCAGGGGGGTGGGTCAACCACCAACCAGTAGATATAGGGAAGTCAATGGATTGTTTTCTGTGATTTGAAATGGGATTTATTGATATGACTTTTGGATATACCCTTTGGCAATCAAAGATGGGAATGGAGCTTTCCTCAGGTTAGGAGTTATAAAGTTGTAATAATCTGAGCTCATAACTGATGGCCATAACTATGGAGATATACAGTCAGTGCAGAAAGAATGGGATTTAGTTGTGGCGGATGCTTTGGTAATTACCCCCTGGTAAATTAACAGTTGGACCCTGATCTTATCACCGATTTTTAATGGAAACTAGTATGAACCAACCCCGATGACTGCCAGGGTCTATGTTAATTTACCAGAGGGTAAATATTCGTTGCTGGAACATATTCATGTACTTCGATGTATAAAAACCCCAAAAAATGCGTATTTGTTTTACTGGATTTCCCAGCTTGCCAAGTTTGATTGCCGGGGTAAACTGGGATATTCCCCTTGATATACCCTGTAGTAATTTGTTGCATAGCTATGAATTATTGGCCCATGTAGTTCGACTATTTGCTGCTTTACAACTACTGACTTTCCATAGCTATGTTTAATTACCAGAGTGTATGATATAATATCATGAAATCTATATATATATATATATATAAAACCAATGAAAGAATAGATAGATAGTGATATTACATGGATGTGGGTTTTTCTTCATACATTGGGATACAAAGAAACCTATAGGGGGGTTAGTATGAGGATATATTCTGCAATGGGATATAAACGGATATCTATATCTATATATATATATATATAGCCATGTATTATGATGATATTTGAATATGTCCAGACATGGGAGATTAACCCCCCAAAATGGCAAGTCAAACAAGAAAAATCATGATCAACCATGGAATCTCTGAGTGCCTTCCAAATCGCCCATATTGGTTTGACATTCCAACATTCCTGAAATGGTTGGAAACCACATATCCGTGGTCCAACCGTGTGGTTTACACCTAAAACGCGCGGTCGTTTTTTGCACAAATATTACTCCCCATTCCAAAGAAAAACCTGTTGGTGACACCTTTCATGATGAATGGTACTTCAGTGTGACCAACAGGTTTTATCATCCCATTGTATCTCACCAAAGATACTGTTGATGAATGGTACTTCATTACAAACCTGTTGGTACTTCAGTTGTATCTCACCCTTTATCATCCCTCATCCGTGTGAGGCGTCAACTTCTGGCTGCAGGTGCTGGGACAGCCAGTTTTCACACTGATATGGCTGACAGATCAAAATCGTTTCACATACCCTCTGGGTATGTCAAAATAGCTATTGAAAATGGCCATAAGAATAGTTGATTTTCCCATTAAAAAATGGTGATTTTCCATAGTTATGTTAGTTTACCAGAGGGTAGTTCAACGTTTTTGAACCACACACGATCCGACGATCCAAGATGGTCAAGGAAGATCCGTTTTTGGTGGTCAAAATATATAAGTTGCGGACAAAGAAACACTGCTTTGACAGGACAAAGAAGATCAAACAACATTTTTCTGAGTCGTTTTGATTGAACCAATCTGTCGAAATGGTCTGGATGGATTCCAGTCATCTGAGAGCGCCACCGAAAAGTGTGATCTCTATTAGGATTGGACAACACCAAGCATTTGAGGCATTTGAGTCCTGAGGATTCGAAGAATGTACTCATGATCCAAATGATTTCAATTGATCATCACCAATGAACATGGGGAGGATTTGAACATTATGATGATCTGCAATGATGCCCCCAAAGCGATGAACGGGGTTTGAATACCCAATCGCAAGGGTTATGTATAGCAGTTCAACAGAGTGCACCTACTAGCTGTACCTTCGGCACGTTTGTTTTTCACATGGTTTGAATCTTCCAAATGCTCAATGGGGAGGTTCTCAAAGGGTTCCATGGCCAAAACATGGCGCATCATTGCGTCGTAAACCTTGATATAGCAGGATATAGCTTGATTTGGTAGTGTAGTAGTGTAGTGTTTCATGTTTATGTCTAAGCTGTTCCAGTGGAATAGTTCACACATGTTCATACCCCACCATATATGTCATAAACCAAACATATTAACATCATGTCCACTATTGAAGCCATCCAACTGCCGCCTTCAATATCCACCTTCATTTGAGCAGCGGCTACCTTCAACCTCCTGGTGGTCGATGATTTGTTCGGGTGTTGGATAGTCTATCAATATTGATGATGATCATCATCCAGAAGCGGTATTCCCGTGTTTAACCAATTGTCGTATTTTATGTCCATGACATGAAACGGGTAAACCATATTATTCACATATTTCTGATCATAGACTCCACAAAATCCTATATACCCAGATTATCCCCATAATATCTTCATGTCAATGGCCATTTCAGGAACCTAAATTGGAGGTACCTACCATATACAAGGCCTATGATATACCCCCAAAATATGGCCTTCTATGGTACAGTACCTTCATTCTAGGATCCTGGAATTCCCATTGATCATGATACTGCTATAAATTTAGTTGTCTCTGCAGGTTGGGACTGCAAGGGCGCTCGTGAGGCCAGGTGCAGCAGTGTTCGCTGATGTGAAGCAAGGGCCGTAGGGCTTCACCAAGAATTACCACAGTTATGGCCCAAAATACCAGTTATAAGTACTAAGAAAACCCCATTTATAGAATGTATAATCCCATTTATAACCAGTTGTAACCGGGACGGCTACTCACCGGGCTTAACCACTTGCTACCCTCTGGTAAACATACAAAAAGCTATTGAAAATCGTGATTTATAGTGGATTGTCCCATGAAAAATGGTGATTTTCCATGTTTTTTTGTAGGTTTACCAGAGGGTACCAGAGGTTTTGATGAGAAAAACTGTGACTTTCGGGAGCAAAGATTGTGATATTGTGATATAGGACAGAAACAATCACCAATACAAAGTGCGATCAGGCTTTAATTCAACCAGCACACATGGCCTATCATGGGGTTGGCAACCGGTGAGTTTGATTGGTTGAAGATTCTTTGTATGTTCCAGCCCAACAAAAAACATCAAAGGATTTTGGAAGGGCTGTTGGCTGTGTTGGCAGACTTTGTAAATTGTGCACTGCAACTCAACAATGGACCATCCCGGAGATGCCTTTGCCAAATATATATATATATAATTATATATAAATATATATATATATATGTTGCCAATTCAAATGTGGATATGATTTGCTACTGTTGATGGTGCCCGGCTAATTGATTGCTCAGTGTTTGCGAAGTTGAGCCACAGTTTCCCAGAATGAAGTCCAGAACTAAGTATGGATCAACAGGTCAATGCCCAGCAAAGAAAAGGTCTTTATAATTTTATATCTACTCTGGATACAGCTTCTTTTCTGAAATTATCACATGATCATAGATTAAATGCGTGCAAAGTACAAAATGTTGATGCATTGCCAGTAGTCAATATTTTCAGCAACCAGCAAGGAGTTGTTCAATTCATCATATTTGGTAAGATTTGGTGTAAGAGAGCCCAGTTGCAAGAGTAAGGACCCTGTGATCAAAGCCCACTATCCATTCATTTTCGGAATGAATTTCACCCAAATCCAAGCCAGTCATTGGAAAAAACCTTGGAGCCGTGTCATTCATGGAATTGCTGTGTTTCGATCGGCCCGGGCCTAGTGTTTTTGCCATGGCCTCCAAAAGGAATCCCAGATCTGCAGATGTGCAGGTTTGTTTTGCCATTCAACCAGCAAGGTCTACCCATTCATCACCATGAAAAATCACCAAAAAAATCACCATAAAACCATAAATAACCACGATTAACTGTTTTGTATTCATGCATATATACACATTGGCATGCCATGTGATGGTTTATAATGACTCAGACTTTGCAGTCGGCGTCGCACCAAAACAACCCAGGTGCTGCAGCCAGGCTCAAAGCATCTGAATCCTGTCAGGTCAGGATTGATACGTTTTTCTGAGGAAAAGGTCAGTGGTTTATCACCCTTTTGAACTTGGACTCTGGTCATGGGATGTCATGGGCCCACTTGGATAAGCCCACGGATTGTCGGTGGTTAAGAACCGTAGTTCACCCATAAAAACCGCAAGGTTTTAGGATTAGTATCGACCAATGGGCCACTGTGCAGGGCCCAGGGATCATGTGAACCCAGCCAGACTGAGACCCAAGAAGGTGTAAATCCACTACCAAATTTTGGCTTCTGGGATGTTTCATATTAGGTGGAAAGGATTTGCTAACCCAAATTCACACGTACCAAGTTGAGCATTACCTCATGAACCTTATTGTCACCCATACCCAGCCGAATGGTCAGTCAGCAGAGCATAACTTAAGCCCTTTGTGACTGGGATTGTCGAATTAAGCCCTTTCCAGCCACCATGGCGTTGATGGTTGGCACGCGAGTGGTTGGGAGACTCAGCGATGTTCAAGGGAACAGATCATTACATGGCTGCTACTTCATCCATGTGGGGTTGTCTGAAATTGGCTTACCCCAAAATCCAGTGTTGTTTTTTTCATAATTGTCATCAGTCCTGCTGAAACTGTCATTTGAGGGGAATGCCCCCATCTTCAGATTCAGCCACACCAATATGATAACATGTCACTGGCATCTTTTGGGCAGCCAACTCACCAGGACTTTTCATTGCAAAGCCGTCCAAGTTTGGAGACAAGAAAAGATACATAGGACACATGAAATCATGTCTCGTCAAAACGGGTATAATATATATATATATATAATATATATATATAATATATAATATATATATATAATATATATAATATATATATAATATATATAAAGTGTACATACCCACCATTTCTGGACATACCCATGTTAGAGTTTCCTAGCATCGAGGATTCCCAGTTATCATCCAAGTTATTGTCATTTCTACGTTATCAATATCACCATTATCTCCTCCCAGTTATCTCAACCATTCCCATACCCTTTGGTGATTGAAAGTAGATAAAGTAGCGAGCTGGACAGTCACTCCTTAAAAAAGAAGTAAATCATCTTGAACCATCTATTTCTATGGGCCATGGCTTCCAGTTCGCAAACTCTTAAATACCCAAAGGGTATTAATAAGGTGGTTCCCCTCAGTTCATAGAGCTGGTTTATAAACCATAGTATATGATATATATATATATATAACGAGTTAATATAAGTTATATCTTCCATAAGCCCTAATTATTCGAGTTACAAGCCAAGTCAGCTACCAAACTAGCGGACCACCTTGTAAAACGTATGAAGAAATGATGGAGTTCACCAACAACAAAGACTGGTTGGTGGTTTCCAACATTTCTTATTTTCCATAATATATGGGATAATCCTTCCCATTGACGAACTCATATTTTTCAAGATTGTTGTCGCACCGCCAACCAGAAGAGAATTGAAGCATCACTGGTTGGTGGTTTGGTACATGAATTTCATGACTTTCCATTTATTGGGAATACATAATCATCCCGACTGACGAAGTCCATCATTTTTCAGAGGGGCGGGTCAGCCACCAGCCAGAACAATATTGTACATATATATATACACACATATGATTTTCAAGATGGTTATTGCACCACCAACCAGAAGACTTAGTGGTGCTTTTTTTGGGGGAATGGGGGAATGATCTATAATAACTATCATAAAAATAATCCCAGCAACCCCTGGCAACCCATCCAGCAACCCTACGTTTAGCAGAACTAGATCTTGCATCCTCAGGTCATGCAGGGCCGATCCGAGTCTGCAGGGCAGCGAGGGGTGTCTTCGACATTTCGCGCCACCCGGGATGTCCAAGGACCAATAGTGGGGAAGGTTAAACCAAGGACCAAGTGGCGCCTAAACAGTTCAGGCCCCTAAACAATTAAAACACTTGGAGTATACCTCCTGCAACTAAGGTTATATTACTCTTTTTTTCGCTGAAAAAGGCTAGACAGTATATGTGTAATCAACCATATTTCTTTAAGGAAAAACAACAGGATATCACGAGGACACAACGGAGATGTGACGATATCTATCAGTTGTTTGGAGAAGTAATGTTGCCACCAAGTCGCGTGGTCACGACTAATGCTGGTTAGGATTGGGGAGTGATCCCTAGTGGCCCCAGTGCTCCAAACAGCTGAGCCCCAGACCTAATGACCCTCTGAGTCTGAGCGTTAAGGCCCCAAAAACCATCCCCAAATACAGTATCAGAAGGTGCTTGGAGCCCTGTGGGATAGTTGATAAGCCTTTTTTTTGGGAGCCCAACAGACCATGCTTCCGTGAGCACATCATACATGGACTCCCCGATGGTTGATGGTAAAATGGTTTCAGCTTTGTTTCACACAGGGTTTCTGAAACAGTGGCAAGTCATCAAGTCAAAGTGTATCCACATGGTTTCCATAGCATCTCCGCACAGGTGGGTAATTTTTGCACATTCCCGTGGAAATTCCGAGCTCCACAAAATTCCCATAGAATCCGTACAGTACTTCGTGGTTCATCCCACTTGCTGGGTTGTAAGCCCTGTGGATTAACCGTATGACTCCACCTATAACTAGGGTTTTCAAACATAAGTTATAACCACTAAACCCTCATCCCACTAAGAAAATTGGAGGAAATAACCACTAAGGGTTAAGTTAATCCAAATATAACCACTAAGAAAATTAGAGGCTTACCACTTTCATTGGATTAGTCTCAGGGGGAACAATTTACACGAAAGGCCCAAGAAAAAAATTATGGGGAACACATCCACGGATTTCCAGTTACCCTCTGGTTATGTCAAAATAGCTATTGAAGCCATGGCCATAGAAATAGTGAGTTTTCCCATGAAAAATGGTGGATCTGTTCATAGTTATGTGGCTGTTTACCCCGTGATAATCCCCATAATTCCCATGATATTCATAGATAATCCATGATAATCCCATGTTTCACATAGGAATCCCTCCCTGGTTACCCCCTGGTGATTCGGATCCCCTCGAAGCCGAGATCGTTCTGGACATCGACCGCGACGCGGGGTGCTGCCGAGTGGCCCTGGATGAGAATCCCTCAGTGACCTGGCAGCTGGCTGAAACATGGGGAAAAATGGGGAAAATCACCGTGACTTCACCAAGAGAAATGGAGATTGAACATAGATGGATAGTTGGTTGATGTTGGTTGTTATTAGCTAAGTTGGACACCTTTTCACTCAAACTCAACGAACTGGTTTGTGGTTCCAGCTCGGAAAGGAAGTGACCTGCGTCGATCTGCCAATGTCTGTTTTAGTTGACGCGTCCATCCTGCACGTGGCGACCTGTGTTGTATGTTCACCATCAGAAAGATATCATGATCATCCAATCATCAATAGCAATAATAACTCTATACAACAACAGCAACATCAACAGCAACAACAACAACAGCAGCAACAACAACAGCAACAACAGCAACAACAACAACAAGAACAGCAACGGCGACAGCAAGAATTACCCGTTGTTAGACAAAATATGTGTAATATTTTTGTTGAACAGCATCCGTCAAAAAAATAACTAATACTATTCCATGTTCCACAGTGCAGGGCTGGTTTGTCATCGGATGTTCTGGTGGTTTGTCACCACTGCTTTCCAGAAGGGTCGTTAAAACCACCAAGTGTTTGTGCTTCTCTAGGTCCAGTCATATGAGCCATGAACAAAATATCCTGACTGATGGTTATGAACTAGGGAATTTGATTAACTGGGTTGATGAGTATAACATATCATATATATATAATGATATTATTTAACCCATAGGTTTCGTGAAACCTATCAAGCAACGAGTATTTCATGAGACGCTGGTACATGGGACATCCTGATCATCTCCGGGGAAGTTGAGCGAACTTCGGAGCCTTGCGGTTGGGCAAACCAGATCGAATGGCCCGTCTAATATGGTAATATGGTCCATGATACAGACTCTGAGTTGGATTTGAACCTGTAAAGGTGAATTGTAACTTGGTAGCCACGGGTTACTTAGACGTTTAAAAAAAACACACATTCTGCATTGGTCTGGTGTGTTGTGAAAATTTTAACCACACTTTGTTCCAAAATGATTTGCCATCGTTCTCTACCAAGACTTGCCGACCAACATCTGACAGTCTTTATAAAACTAGATTTGGGTCATTGTTGGTTAAATGCCAGTAACATTTACAAAATAGTGTACCCATTTTTTACAAAACATCGTTTTCCCAGAGCTGCCATTGTCCACACTTTTGGGATATGGCCATGCCGCCAGGTTCCAGTGAAAGTGGCCATCAGTGCCTGGCATGGTTTGATGGTGACCCCGTAGCACTCGTAGCCTTTGTCAAAGTATGAGTTCAGGGTCGTGAAATTCATAGGTCTTGTTTACCTAAACAACCTCTGGTAAAGGTTTACATAACGATGGACAGATCCACCATGCTATTGATGGGTAAATCCACTATTTCAATGGGCCATTTTCAATAGCTGTTTGTATGTTTACCAGAGGGTAAATCCTCCAGTAAACATCCATGATTCAAGTCGTTTTTCAGCAGATCATCTATATGGAAACCCATGGATTTCCGTTGAAAAACTGCTCTTGTTACCAGGGTCCCAGAAAAAGGGAACCCATGAAATTCATTTAATATTTTGTTTCCCATTCATGGTGATATCATTCTAATTATCTGCTTTTTGCTGATCAATATATCATGAAATAGCTTGCTCAAAGGCACAGAATTGTTTTGGTAGTTTTCGCTCCCATTGTATTTGTGGTTGTGACTTCCGTCATTGGCAAAGCCTTGTTCTGGTTGCCGGAAAGTTATTGTTGTCCCTCTCCAATAAATTAAACGATTGAATAGGTGCAGTTACTGGATAGTTGCTTGATTATTATTGTGTTTATTCAGTATTCCTCAAGGTCATTAGGGATGGTTTTTGAGTTAATGATCCCTTTAATGTTTTTGTTCAGAAACTTGTGTTTCAACAATCAAAACATGTTGAGATCATTGTTTGGTCCCACTTTGACGCTCAGAAATATGGATCAGACAATTTGTTGGTTTCAATCGCCTCACATCCAAAGCTACTAAACAGTCACTTCCTTATTATGGTGGTTCCTAAGCGCATACCTATGTTGTTTGATGTGTTGATCTCACAAAGTAAATCCATTTAAGAGTGGGATGTGTGTGTTGCCTTGCACGTTGTCAAGTGATTTACTCGTTGGCCAACAAACGCTAGTTCTCTAAATAGCCTTTGAGCAGGTGTGTGGCTCCTCACAAACAACCCTGATTTGAAACAGTAGGATAATATATACTGTATATATATATATGTCACATGTTTGAAGATAACTTCCAATCTTGACCCTTCTAACTAAAGACAACATGTGCAACTGACTTAACTACTCCCAGCAAACTAGCCGTATTGGTTGCTTTTGATGCGGGTTTTTGAAACAATGGGTATTACCCCAAGGGTATCATCATTAACAGTAACATGTTAACAACATTTTATTTAACACGTGCTTTTTGGGTGTTTGTTCATCATATTCAGACAAAGCCAGGTGGTATGATAACCATTAAAAACAAACCAAATGTCGTATTGTTAGTTATACCGTTATACCCTCTTGTACCCCTTGAATATACAATATATACATATACATTCTGTATCCTATCCCCGTGGTTAAATCCTGATTTCTGATGGTGATAGTATTTCCAGTTTTTCATGGTATGATCATTATCATTATCTTACAATCATATATCTTATGATAAGATCATCTGAAATTCATGATGGTTATATTAATTGGTTGACTATTTGGTTATTTTAGGTTAAAGAACCACTTATGATATATATATATATATATAACCAAAGAATCAATGGTTTAATATATCTTATGATAAGATATCTCTTATCGTTTTTAATGATCTGATCTCTACATCAATTGTTTTCCTCAAACACGGCACCTGCGCCAGGGCATCTTGCTCCTGACCTTGACACTTACGTGGCAACGGCGCGCTACACCCAGGTGAACTGGAATTCACCGAGATTTCCTGGAAAAATCTATGGAAAATGAGGATTTAAAAAGGATATTGGGGTATGTAGTTTCTAGAAAATAGATGCGGGTCTTAATGAATCTTATATTATTCATATAGATACATGTATATATATATATACCTACAGAAATAATGGAGTATTACTAGCCAATAATGGATGTTTTCATGGAGATTTCTCAAACAAAATCACGGAAAATTTGCATTTAACAGCAAAGATGTGGATTCAGGCGCACTAAAAAAACAGATTCTGTCTGGCAAAAAATCGGATTCAACCAACATGATGTAGGCTTTGACATTTCGACAAAAGACACTGCAAAAGACCTCGACAATATGGGTTCAATTTGAATGGTGGGATACCGGGTGCGCCGGATACGGACAAAAAAACCTGGCAACAAGTCATGCGCTACACCTGACAGAAATCATCCCCAAGATTACGATATATGGGTGTGAATCAATACCTATTAATACCATTTTTAGAGGGATGAACATCCATTTACCAGCTATTTTGATGTTCACCAGGGGTACAAGGTTTTGACCCACTGCCATATGGGTGTGACAGAAAACATCTCCAAATGGTAGGTTTACCCAGGGCCCCAGGGCTGGCTCAGCTCGCAGGAGAAGGTTGACCTCAGGACGGATCAGGCAGGAAAAACGGTGGTGTGTCAATGGCCATGCAACAGGAAGCGATTGATTGGAGGTACCTACCATATATAAGGCTTATGTAAGGGCTATGTAATGGGATATACCCAAAACATATTTTAAACAAGAGGAATTTACACTTCTATCCTGTGGATCTTTGGTTCAAAGCCAAAGTCATCGCTTCGGAGGATACTTTGGCGCCACCATTAAACCAGGACGTGGGAGTGTAGCATGACCACAGTCCAGATCTGTTGCTTGCTTGCCTTAAATTATGCCCCGTTTCATTTAACATAAGAACAGCACCTGTTCACCCATCTGCATTGCAGTGTTCATGTGTTGGAATATATTGGACTTATGTTTTCGCAACTTCAAACAACACTAGTAGTGATCATGAATATTTGGGTGAAAAACTCTTGATGTTGGCCTTGAGTCAGATTTTGCATCTAGAAGTTGCAACGCTGCCAACAGTGCGAGCGCACCAAAGCAGCACCGGCAGATACCGGCCACTCGGTCTTCAAACTGAAAACTTGCTCCAGTTGTCCGAGATGGCGACCTCGCCGGTGAAAAAGGAGCATCCCACTACTTTAGCAGAGTTGGCTCAAGCCTCAGATCAATGTCGACCTCGTCCAGAACAGTGCCAGCTCTTCTGGTCGACGAGACAGAGACTAGTGAATGGCATCATATCATTCACATTTGATCATGCCATCCTCGGGATGTTGGAGTAGATATGATTATGATGTTTACTTCACAATCTAATATCCTTGTGAACTGTTCTATGCAGTTGGGTGGCTCTAAAGAAAATGCGAATCTACAAACCACGGGCTTTCAATAACAACTTGGGTGATACCTTGGTTCGCCTTTTTAGGAAAATACCATGTTCAGGATTGTTTTCGATTGGACCTCGAAAGATGGACTCCCCGGTTAGAGATTGGGCAATGAAGCCATCCAACTACTGTATAGATAGTGTGCCATCAACTTTAATTACCTAACCAACCTATACCCCAAACCCCCAAACCCCCAAACCGCTGGTGTGACACCCATCTTTCAATGTACTGTAAATGGAAACCAAATTACCCATAGCGGGTCTAGGTACTGTAGAAATAACATGAACCCTAGTAGTTGTATTAGTGAACTAAACAAACTTAGCAGTTAATCGGTGCACCACCTTGTACAGTTTCATTTTTTCGGGATTGAACATTCATAACAGGGTATTACCACATTGTTGGTGATATAATGTTGTTTGTTATCATCGGTTATATATATCCCATTGCAATCACCATTGCAACATGGTTTGTAGGTACATTTGCATAAACATGCCAAAAATCTGTGTAAACCCACCAATTAAGCTAAACTGTAAACCAGCTTACTTATCATAAATCACACCTCAATCCCTATGTTCGGCGGTTAAATTCCCATGAAGTTGTTCAAAGTTATATCATTTTATATCCTCATTGTTGGTGTGTATTTATATCTATGTTGTTGGCTGCCTGGATCCATTTGCTTGTTTCATCTAATCATATCAAATAATTTCAACTCATATCCTAATCTATATAAAATGTGCTTTCTATGGATCTAACTCTATCTATAGTGACGGACACCGAATTAGAACCTATTTTGGAAAAAAAAAAACGGACTTCGTACATCTGGCCGGGTTCTTACTCATATGAGTTAGAAGCGCTAAAATTAACCGCAGTTAGAACACCACATTTCATATACCACATATGCTCCTGCCCTTGTAAACACTCACAGTTAGAACCCCTTGTAAGCATACATATATTCACAAGTATACTTGTATAATCATGTATAATATTATCGCTACTCTTGTATATGAACCGATGTTGTGCAAACTCACATATGTCTCTGCCCTCGCGAACCCACACACTTAGAACCTCTTTGTATACACCTTGAAAACCAAAACCCGCAGAAATCTTAGGGTTTGAAAAATACCTGAGCTTTTCTGACAAAACCCGGGGTATTTAAACCCATTTTGAAAGTACGGGTTAGGTACGGGTTAGGTACGGGTTAAGTACGGGTTCAAAATCAATACCCGAGGTCTTCAATCGAAAACCGATGTTTTCTTATTTTTTCCGAAATACCTCAGGTTCTTGCGTTGACCCGAAGAATTCTTAGGGTTTTGGTTCTCCAGGCATACATATATCCACAAGTATACATATATCATATCGTATGATAAATACTTTTGTATATGAACTCAAGTTGTGCCAAATCACATATGTCTCTGCCCTTGCCAGTGCACACTTTGAGGCGAGTGCTCACACTTAGAACCTCTTTGTATACATATATAGATATACTCACAAATATACATATTTCATATTGCAAATACTTTTGTGTATGACTCCGTGTTGTGCGAACTCACATATGTCTGTGCCCTTGCGAGTGCTCACAGTTAGAACCTCTTTGAATACATACATATGCTCACAAATATACATTTTTCATATTACAGATACTTTTGTGTATGACTCCGTGTTGTGCGAACAGTGCGAACTCACATATGTCTGTGCCCTTGTGAGTGCTCACAGTTAGAACCTCATTGTATACATGCATATACTCAGAAATATATATACATATATCATATCACAAATACTTTTATATGTGAACCCATGTTGTGCGAACTCACATATGTCTGCGCCCTTGCGAGTGCTCACAGTTAGAACCTCTTTGTATACATAGATATAGTCTCAAATATACATATTTTATATTACAGATACTTTTATATGTGAACCCATGTTGTGCGAACTCACATATGTCTGTGCCCTTGCGAGTGCTCAGAGTTAGAACCTCATTGTATACATGCATATACTCAGAAATATACATATATCATATCACAAATACTTTTATATGTAAACCCATGTTGTGCGGACTCACATATGTCTGTGCCCTTGCGAGTGCTCACAGTTAGAACCTCATTGTATACATGCATATACTCAGAAATATACATATATCATATCACAAATACTTTTATATGTGAACCCATGTTGTGCGAACTCACATATGTCTGCGCCCTTGCGAGTGCTCACAGTTAGAACCTCTTTGTATACATAGATATAGTCACAAATATACATATTTTATATTACAGGTACTTTTATATGTGAACCCATGTTGTGCGAACTCACATATGTCTGTGCCCTTGCGAGTGCTCAGAGTTAGAACCTCATTGTATACGTGCATATACTCAGAAATATACATATATCATATCACAAATACTTTTATATGTGAACCCACGTTGTGCGAACTCACATATGTTTGTGCCCTTGCGAGTGCTCACAGTTAGAACCTCTTTGTATACATGCATATACTCAGAAGTATACATATATCATATCACAAATACTTTTATATGTGAACCCATGTTGTGCGAACTCACATATGTCTGTGCCCCTGCGAGTGCTCGCACTTAGAACCTCTTTGCATACATACATGTGCTCACAAGTATACATATATTCCATCACAGATACTTTTGTATATGAACCCATGTTGTGCAAGCTGACATATGTTTGCACCCTTGCGAGTGCTCACACCTAGAACGCCATTGTATACATAAATATACTCACAAGTATACATATATCAAGAATCATTTAACGGATACGTTGGTATATCAACCCGTGCTGTGCACTCTCACACTTGTTTGTGCCCTTGCGAGTGCTCACACTGAGAACCTCTTTGTATACATGCATGTACTTACAAGACTACATAAATCACATCACAGATTCATTTGTATATGAGCCCATGTTGTGCGAACTCACATATGTCTGTGCCCTTGCCCGTGCTCACACTCAGAACCTCTTTGCATACATACATATGTCACAAGTATACTTATATTCCATCACAGATATGTCTGTATATCAACCCGTGCTGTGCAATCTCACACTTGTACGTGCCATTGCGGGTGCTCACACTTAGAACCTCTTTGTATACATATATTGACAAGTACTACTATACATATTTCGTATCATGATTAGTTTTGTATATGAACCCTTGTTGTGCCAACTCACATATGTTTGTGCCCTTGCGAGTGCTCACACTTAGAGCCTCTTTGCATACACACACACACATGCTCACAAGTATACATATATCATATCACGGATAGTCTTGTATATGAACCCATGTTGTGCAAACTCACATATGTCTGTGCCCTTGCGCGTGCTCACACTTAGAACCTTTTTACATATATTCACAAGTATACAGCAAACCGTATCATAGATAGTTCAGTATATGAACCAGTGTTGAGCAAACTCACATGTGCGTGTGTGTGTGTGCGCGCCCCTTTTAAGTGCTCACACCAAGAACCTCTGGCCAGGACCATGGGTCGGGACAAATCTCTTTATCTATCCAACAACCTATCTGTAAATTATTTATTTATTTATATATATGTGTGTGTTAAATTTAGTTTAGGACATACAATTTGATGTTTCCATTTTTTTGAATCTCACGCTGAGCATTTTGTCCAAAGTGAATGGAGATTAGAGTTTGCAAGCATTGCCACAACAGAGCGGCCAAGTTGAAATGACAAGATTTGATGCGTGCAGGAAAATGATGCGGTTCTCATAGTTGGTTGGTGTTACCCCCTGAGTTAGAACCTTTTGCAAACCAAGGTTCTAAGTGTGGATGATTTTTGGGTTCTAACTGTGAGTCGACCCCATCTTTGGAAAAAAATTGAGGTTCTAACTCGGTGTCCGTCAGTATAGTTCTATCTAATTCTACCTAACTCTATCTAACTCTTATCTAGCTCTTATCTAACTCTTATCTAATTCGAATCTAATTCTAACCAAAATAACTCTATATCTATCTCTATCTGTCTCTCTCTAACTTTATTTCACCCTATCTAATTACTTCTAATTCTTTCTAACTGTATCAAATTTGTATTAACTCTATCTAGCTCTATCTGAGTTTATTTAAGTTTATTCTAAATGTTCTAGCTCTGCCTAGCTCTATCTCATTCTAATCTAGCTTTAATCTAACTCGAATCTAACTATCTAACTCTTATCTAACTCTTTCGAACTCTTATCTAACTCTAAGCTGGTTCTAATCTAACTCTAATCTATGTCTAGCTCTAACTCTAATCTAGCTCTAAACTAACCCTAATCTATCTCTATCCAACTCTTATCTACCTCTTATCTTACTCTTATCTATTGCTTTTCTATTGCTTATCTAACTCTAATTTGACTCTATCCAACTCTTTTGCTAACTCTTGTCTAACTTTTTTCTATTTCTTATCTAACTACTATCTAACTATTATCTAACTCTAATCTAACTCTAACCTAACTCTCTAAGTCTTGTCAACTCTATCCAACTCTATGCGTATATATATATATGTGTATATATATATATATATATACATTTCACCGTCATTATTACTTTAAACCCCATGGTTTTCCAGTTCCGACGCTAGTCCCATGTCGTCCATGCCATCGCGCCAGTCGCGCCAGGCATTGGCTGAGGCCATTGAAGCCTGTGCACAGGCCACGGGGGGAAACGCCAAAGGGATGTCTTCAATGTGAAACAGGTAGCCTCAACAAATATAAAATCCAGTATTTATAGAATTTATAATTCTATTTATAACCAGTTCAATGTGTTATAATATCCTGTAGCCTCAAACATAAAATGGAAAACTAACACATGGAAATATTTCACAAATGATTTTTTGGTAATGATAAATGATAGTTTTCAAGTATGAATTGTTCAATATGTTTTCCATAATTCAGGTTGGTGGTTTCAAACATTTTTTATTTTCCATCATATATGGGATAATCCTTCTGATTAATCTACATAAATATATATATATATATGTGATTGGTGGTTTGGAAGATTTTTATCATTTCCATTCAGTTGGGAATGCCATCATCCCAACTGACTCATATTTTTCAGAGGGTTGAAACCACCAACCAGCTGAAAATGACCAATTTTGAGTGGAAACTAATCTTCCAAGCCCTGACGGGGTCTATGTTAATTTACCGGAGGGTATTTTCACAACACTTACATGGTGATTTATAGGGTAAATATTGAGGGACTTAACTTTGGATAATTTGGTGAAAAATGGGATATTGACACCTAAACTATTGACCACCAATAATGCAGGAAAATAGGGATATGACTAGCAACAGGAATGGATATTTGGGAAAACCGATTGGATTGCAGGGCATCTAAAGTTGGGTTGGTGATTGTTCATTTGAGTCCAGTGGTGCAGTTATGGCCCTTTACCAGTTCTAAGTATTTATAGAATTTATAATCCTATTTATAACCAGTTATAACTAATAGACGGCCATAACTGTGTGATAGTGTTGAGTGATACATAGAACTATCTGGAATGTAAGGTCTCAACCATGAACAGGGGAGTGGAAGCAGGAACATATCCAACACTGTAGTCATCTACACTATCCCATCACAATTTGGGGCCACAATTTGAACCGAGATATGACCAGGCCACATCAGGGACTTCACTGGAAAAAAACCTGGTATGATCACCCATATGTTGCAACAAAGATTTGGATGCTACCAAGATCAGAACATGTGGAACCCTGGAACCCATAGGTGTGCATGTGATTGAAGATATTGAAGGCCATCCTGGCAATGCATACTCTGTAGGTCGTTACTGTCGATCCCAACTGCACAATGTTTGGCCAAGAAAATGAATCGACCCTGAAACCGGCTATAGTCAATTCGTTTAGCATAATATGAAACCGTCCATTTTCCCCAGGTTTGAGGGAGACTCTGTAGGTAATTGGGGTAATAACTGGGATTTTGCTGTAGATTTTCCCGTAAACAACCATTGTTTTTTTCATGGTTTTTCCCGATAGTCACATTTTGAGACTCAATGTCTTGGAAGCTGTCGATATTGGAGATTTATTTTGATTCCACCGTGGAGTGTTCAGGGCAGAAGGGTTTGTCAGGACAAAAAACATATCCCAAACTTCACTTCCCCCGGGTTTTTGCCGAACCAAAATATTGAATTACACCCAAACTTCTGAAACAAATGGAAAACGCAAGGATTGTTCAGAAACCGATTTATATAAACATAATATATATATATATATATATATCAGTCAAAATATATATCATATTGATAGTTTTGTTTTATCACAATATAATAACCACTTGTTTTGTACCACATTGGATAAAACATGACACATCCAATCCAGTGTTTTCTCTTTTTTCGGCCCAGCATGGTCAGGCCACCTCATCACTGTGCTCCTCCACTGCAAGAGAGGCAGAGTTGGCGGACATGCATCCCGGTAAGTGGTTAATAAATATACGATATACCTCAGTTATATTGAAGGTATAGCCCAAGTGAATATATATATATATTGTTATCTCTACCCACTGTTTAAATAAATCAAGAACTCAAGAAATGCATCCTCAAGCACTATCACTTTCAAGGGTTTAGTTTATAGATCAAAGACGTCAATCAGCCTATTTCAAATTTCCCCGAGGTTGAGTAAATTAGTTGGGCCATGGGAGCACCGGTTTGCCAGCCCCAGCTAGCTTCCAATAAGGCACCTTGCTAGATAGTGAGCATGTGTATTTTACAAATGCCAGGGGGTGTTTCCAGTTGAAAAGGTTGAGAAACTCATGTGTCCAGATGAAAACTATTCCTTCATGCCAGATATGAGATGTGTATGCTTGTGAGAAATGGAGATGTTACACTGCACAACTCTGCTGAGAAAATAACTGGCAACCAAAGGACATGGAGATATATCAGCAATTATACTCTCCTACCCTCAAAAACACATTGAAAGCTCTTTTTCCTATTCAAAACTCCATGTACTATGTGGGCCGGCTTATCACGGCCACTGCATCAAGAATCGAGGTCCTCAAACTCAACGTCCTCAAACTGACAGATAATGGTAATATTTGATAGTATGCCAACACCATTGCACCTCCCAATTGTATTTTTTGGTTTACCCGCCATGTATGATATCTACATTTACGTGTTTTAGCCTAGTGAATTTCTGTAAATTGGACCCAATAAGCCATGTGAATGTTATCCACATTCACCATGAAACCTAATGGAATATGGGTTCAGGAAACCAATTTGCGTCGGTTTTTTTTTAAGCGAAGACAGGGTCCTTGGAAGCCCTGCAGGCGAGCAAGACGATGGGTGGAAGATATCATCAGGAGCTGGGCATTCCGGATTCCCTGGACCCAGCTGGAACTAGGATTTTATCGTCTCGAAATCTGGGGAAAGATAAGAAATGAATAGAAACTAAGGATTAAAATGCTGGCTTTGGGGTTGAACATGGAGTAAAACCATAGCAGAAGTGTGGATATATAACCATCAAACATTCAAACATTCGGAAACATGTAGAATTTTCACCAATCTAGAGAAGAACTCTGGCGGCCGGTCATCGTCCATGGCGAGGCAGTACACCAATTCCATCACAAACCACCCATGTTGGGGTACCACCATTTTCTTACTGGTGCTTGGCAGGGAATGAGGGAATGATCCATAATCACTGGTAATAATCATCCCATTCCCCCCATTCCCATACATTCCCTACTAAGCACCAGTAAGTTTTAAGAACCCCCCAAATGAACGATGATGAAGATGAAGAAGATGAAGAAGATGAAGAAGGCCGGGAGTTTAGAAGGCGTTCAGAGGGACGATGATGAAGATGCTGGCGGATCGTGCTCTACAGTGGAGGATCTTTTGTTAGCTAAGTATAACTAAGTTGGTTTCCAAGCTAATATTTCACGAATGGGTTGATGGTAGATTAATACCTATGTTGATGCGGTTCAAAAACGAAGTTGTGCCTGGAAGGCATCATCTTTTTCTCGGCAGTAGAGACATCTGCAGCAGGATTGCTGAAGAAACGATGGATTTGCTGATGCCATCCCCATCGCTGGTCATGTTGCGCTAGGTAAGGCTGTGGCTTAGAATCTTGGTACCCTGGTGAAGACCAAACAAAATAGGTTGTAAATCAGTGTTGATCTCCCCCACAATATTACATATATATATACACATACATAATATATATATATATGTACGTATGTTTTATATACATACATAATATACATATATATATGTACGTATGTTTTTTGTATACATACTACATATATATATATATGTATATATACGTATGTTTTATATATACATATATATACACAATAATATCTATGGTTCTAAGATGTTTTCACCTATCCCCATATAGATATACTTTTTTTTTTGCGATGTGTCCCTTCAGCCACTTTTTAGTCACTTTTTGGGATGATAAACCAGGACCAAATATGGTAAATTAGGTTTTGATCCACCCACAGAGCCTAATTATGAGGCTGATAAACCAGGACTTGGACATGTCCAAACTATGCTTGCTTATCTGCGATGCTTCGTGGAATTATCCCCCATGTACCCTGTTTAGAATTTGATTTCGATGTGTTTCAGCATCCCAGCATCTTGGTATCACCTGAAATCCACATAGTCCACGACATCCCCAGTTTCACTAGCTCCAGTTGGACCATGAAATTAGCTGACCATCAGGTGACCGAAAAAGGTGATCATCGGATTCTCAGCTGGCAGCTACAGTTATGGCCCAAAATACCAGTTCTAAACGGGAAGAAATAATTTCCATAATATCATAATTAAGCTTACAGTACATATATTTCTAATATATATATGTATGTGCATATATATATATATATGTATATATATATGTATATATATATATATTATTATAAACCCATGAAATAAGAGTGCATGGCCATAACTGCTACTGCTACTGGTGAAGTAGGTTGGCGGAATTGTTGGTGACTGGTGATGCTACTGGCTTGTGTAGAACTCTAGATCTGATTTTGCTCACAAGCCAAAAGCAACTGCAGTGATTGCCATTAAAATCATAACAAATAACTCTTCATGGCCATAACTCTAATGATGTTTGTTGGTTTATAACATCACTGATAAAGGTCTACATCACCGTTTAAATAAACATCATAAGCAAGCAACATCAGGTTTATATCTTCATGCCCCCCAGAAATACATAAAAAAGGTAATAAACCAACAAACAATAAATATCACATAAATAGCTGATTTACAGGTCTACAAACTCTGGGAACAAGCGAAAAACCAGGACGTGGCTCAGCTCCGAGAGGAGCTCGGAAGGAGGTTGACGAGGCGGTTTTTGCTGTGGCATTTGTTCGGAAATCCATGGGGAGCTCAGGGGATTTTAATGGGATTTGATGGTGATTTCATGGTGATACTGATACATTTATGGCCCGAAATGCCAGTTGTAAGTCAGTAAAATAACACCATTTATGGAATGAGAACCCCATTTATAACCATTTATGACTGGTAAAGGGCCTGAATTGCAAGAAAATGGTGATGTAGTGATGTCTCCCTATGGATCCAGCCGTACCTTCTTAGGAAGTTTTTTTTGGGACAGTGTTTGGATCCATGGGGTACAAGCAGCACTCAAATGTCGTTCAAACAAAAATTACTTTACTTCGTGTGATCCCCACCATGACATTTATACATTTTGTTACTGGCAAATCTGCTGGCATTCTATCTGACATATTTTCTGGCATTCGATCTGGCATTCTATCTGGCATATCTTCTGGCATTCTACCTGGCATATCTTCTGGCAGATGTTCTGGCATATCTTCTGGCAGATGTTCTGGCATATCTTCTGGCATATGTTCTGGCATATCTTCTGGCATTCCATCTGGCATTCTATCTGGCATATCTTCTGGCATATTATCTGGCAAATCTTCTGGCATTCCATCTGGCATTCTATCTAGCATATCTTCTGGCATATTATCTGGCAAATCTGCTGGCATTCTATCTGGCAAACATTCTGGCACTTTATCTGGCATATCTTCTGGCATTCTAGCTGACATTCTATCTGGCATTCTATCTGGCATACCTTCTGGCATTCTATCTGGCATATCTTCTAACATTCTATCTGGCATATCTTCTGGCACTCTATGTGGCATATCTTTTGGCGTGGATACTCGCGGTTGAGGTCCGGCAGGGAACACTGGGCGTGGATGGTCGTGGTTGAGGTCCGGCAGGGAACACTGGGCGGGGATACTCGCGGTTGAGGTCCGGCAGGGAACACTTGGCATGGATCCTCGCGGTTGAGGTCCGGCAGGGAACACTGGGCGGGGATGGTCGTGGTTGAGGTCCGGCAGGGAACACTGGGCGTGGATGGTCGTGGTTGAGGTCCGGCAGGGAACACTGGGCGTGGATGGTCGTGGTTGAGGTCCGGCAGGGAACACTGGGCGTGGATGGTCATGGTTGATGGTGACGTGGATGGTCGTGGTTGAGGTCCGGCAGGGCACACTGACGTGGATGGTCGTGGTTGAGGTCCGGCAGAGAACACTGTGGATCGCGGGTCGCAGTTGGACGAGGAGGACGAGGAGGACGACGAGGAGGAGGACGACGAGGAGGAGGAGGAGGAGAGGAGGAGGAGAGGAGGAGGAGAGGAGGAGAGGACGAGAGGACGAGAGGAGGAGGAGCAGGCAACTGACATAAAATCTAACAACCCTCACCTGGCAGGTGGGGAACAAGGAATGTGAGGCCCCCAAGACGATAGCTAAGTTGGTGAACATAACTCCAATAACTATGGTTTATGGTACGCAAATAACTATGGTTACTGGGGCGAATCTAAACCAACTAACATCACTGGGGGCCTCACATTGAAGGAATGATACCCAAAATATTTTCTGGTTGATCCGGACACCTTGATGGTTGACTTCCAATTGGTTATCAGCTTGCGCCCCGTTGGTTCCCATGTTGTTCACTAAGTTAGTTTAGTTCGCACATATAACTTGTTGGTGGTGACTGGAACATGTTTTATGAACTTCCATTCAGTTGGGAATGTCATCATCCCAACTGACGAACTCACTCCATCATTTTTCGGAGGTGTGGCGAAAAACCACCAACCAGTATAACTAGGCTTGGGTTTATGGTGACTATACCTTTGCTTAGGCTTGGGTTTATAAACCAACCTTTAACGTGGAGCCGTGGCAGTTTTTCGACCATGTTTTCAGCCTTTTTCTGGATCTGGCGACTGGCTGATCCCAGAGCAAAAACGCATTGACCCAACATCCTGTGATTTATCAATGTAATATATATCTGGTTGGTTGTTTCAAACATTTTTTATTTATCCATAATATATGGTATAATCCTTCCCATTGACTAATTATTTTTTCAAGATGGTTAAAACCACCAACCAGACCAGTAAAGGGTTTGCAGAGAGACATTTGTTCTTGTACGATTCAGATCAAGAGCCTGCACAGTCTGACACACTTGCAGTCTTCTTCCATTCTATGAGCGTTGTGATCATCATTTCGTGGATGTTACTTAAAACCACATTTATAGATATTTATAGAATGTATAATCCCATAGAAATAACCAGTTATAACTAATAGCCATGGCCATAACTGTAGTGATGTTCATGGTTCCAAAACCATTGACTCCCCCAAAACACGTCCTGACACCGGGGCAGGTTAGAGCAACGCATTGAGGTGCGAAAAACTGCCGACAAATGGGGGCCCGAGTTAGAGTAGCAACAGGATCAGGATGACACCCAAAACATTAGGATTTACACTAAAAAGCAGAGGATTTCAATAGATTTCCATAGTAAGGTTAAAAATCACTTCCTAAGGAAATCCAATGAGTCATTTTTGGAGCATCAACAAAAGGATGTGCCGAGAATTTATCCTGGAAGCTGTTTGAAGCAGAAGCTTTGGACCCATACCGGCTTCGGCTAAGGCCTCCGAGACTACTCTTTCAAATGGGTATGGATCAATACCTATTAATACCATTTTTAGGGGGATGAACATCCATTTACCAGCTATTTTGATGTTCACCAGGGGTACAAGGTTTTGACACATTGCCAAATATCTGACAAATTTCCAGTCCAAATCATAGTCATAGTGTATCATTCTATATCTGTATCTATTCAGAGGTCATTTTATGTCACATTACTCTTTGAAACAAGATGGTGCCCCTGTTTGTTAGCTAAGTTTGTTTGTAGCTCATACAATGTTGGCTTTATGGCACCACAATATCCCATCAAAAATCCCTCAGAATATCTGGAATATCACATGATATCCCCATACCCATATGCTCCATGTATGGTATATTTATCTACATTTGGGTGATTTTGTTCGGGTAAATGTTGGTAAATATACCATACATGGAGCATCTGGGATATTGTTGTTTATTCGAGTATGTTGTTTATTCCATTGACATTCATCGAACGAGGCAATGGACGAAGCGATGCGTGGAGAGCGGTTCTCGGTGGGGTCCCCAGTCCAGCAGAAAACAGAACGGTAACCAAAAAATGGTCTGGCTGAACCAAGAGAAATGGGGAGTTAATGATATTTGTAACTGATTTATGATAGCTAACTTGGTTTCTAACTTGGCTAACTACTGTAGGGCTTATGGGGGATATAACTATAGTTTATGGGGTTTATCAACTAACTTATAACTGGGGGCCTACCTTGTCTATGGGTATAGTCCAGTCAAGAGCTTAATGCAGTGTTTAACAATACTTGTCATCGGATTCATAGAAGTTCTCCACGCTTCCCTGAGCTGCGCCAAGCTGCGTCCATCTGGTTTTGGGTGTAGCTACATCTAGAGATGTACCTGAGAAGTGAAGAAACATACATGGGTTTTGATTTTATGATATTACATGATCACCATCCAGTTGGGTCACTTGGGATGTATAGTTCATCCAGTTCATTCTCATATACCCTCTGGTTATTTAACATAGCCGTGGAAAATCACCATTTGTAGATGGTTTACCTATTAAAAATGGTGGATCTTTCCATGGCTATGTTAGTCATAACCACCTTGGGTGGGACCCCGGATTGTTATGTTTGTTGGTTTCTAAACCCACCATTGACATCTATGAATCTATAGATATCAAGTTGATGGTGGGTTCACAAACAAACAAACAAACAAACAAACAAACATAAATCCTAGGCAAGTTCTAAGTCAACTCTTCGCGACTTCGTCAACGTGCAGGCCCCAGTGCGACAACTTTCTGACTCGCCAGAGGACCCTTGGGTCCCATGGGGTCCGGGGCAACCCAGCTGTGGTTCAAAATTGGCTTCAAACGAGTTCTCTTAAGAGTTCAAGATCAGGTGTTCAATTGTGTGTACCCTCTGGTAATGACTAACATAATAGCTATTGAAATGGCCATTTATAGTGGATTTACCTATTAAAAATTGGTGTTTTTCATGGTGATGTTAGTTTACCAGGTGGTAATTGTTGGTCTTTAACCGGTTCTTTGCTGTTTCAATCCCGGCAGAAGACAAATGGGTATGAAACCAGCGTAACATGAGATTTCACCGGCACGAATGGGGCCTTGATGATGAAGAAATAGAAACAACTTGTGGTTTAGTCTCAAAATCATGGATTTACCCTCTGGTTATTTAACATAGCCATGGAAAATGGCCCATAGAAATAGATGGTTTACCTATTAAACATTGTGATTTTCCATGGCTATGTTAAATAACCAGATGGTAGTGTTCACTGAATATTTGGCAAATGTCATGAGGAAAGATGGTTTCTAAAAATGTGTAAGTGGCGGTCATGGCATGAAACACTAGCCCATTATCCTGCTTCTTCACTGGGAATCACCGTGAAAAACAAGGTATTTGTACCCTCTGGTTATTCAATATTTTTCATAGTTATGAAAGTTTCAGCATTTGTGTGGGTTTTCTTTCTATGTTCATGTTTTAAAGAAAATCATGTTCATGTATGGTTTCTACGAGCCATTTGTATCATAATTTTGTCGAATAACTAGATTGTATTTTGGGATTTTCAATTCTATGTTTGACACTGCTGAATGTTCATGGCTTTGTCAACAAAGCGGTCTACAATATGTTTTTTTTTTTAATATATATATATATATAATGAAATACTATTATATATATATACTATATTATATAAGGTTAGACTAACATCTGGTAAACGTTTACATCACCATCCCAATTTCCATCTGGTACAACCATCAATTACCAGCTGTTGGTGGGTTCTAGGCCATGCAGCCGACATGGGCATGACTCACTGAAGCGCGGTGTTTTTCAGAAACCGCTGTGTTTGGTACAAAGGTGTTGCAAAACCATAGGAAAATGGAGGTTTTAATGGGAAAACCATAGGAAAACCATAGGAAAATGGAGGTTTTAATGGGAAAACCATAAAACCATAGGAAAATGGAGTTTACCCTCTGGTAAACGTTTACATAACTATGGAAATATCCACCATTTTTAGTGGGTAAATCACCTATTTTTATGGCCATTTTCAATAGCTATGTTTGTTTACCAGAGGGTACTTGAATTCTGTTTGGATATGGCTCCAAAGTTCTAAAAATCAGTTGATGGTTTATCCGTTTATCCCATTATTTGAAGGAGGCTTTCAACCATCCCAAATTGGTGCAGGATTTCGCTGGCCCATCCACAGTATGTTCGGAGCTCCAAATGATTCACCCAAGAAAACGAACGAGCCATCCTATTTGGCACGTCTCAGATCCTACCGGTCCTACCGCCTGGCATGACATCACCAGGACACGTCCATGTAATATGATCTGTTTCATTGGTGTCATTAGCGAAGTAGAAACACTAACAACTAGCGTTTATACTTCTACCTGTCATTTGCATCCTTCCAACATTGCTTCCCTGCAACCCCGAGGTTTTTCTAAGCTGAAAATGATTCCCCTATGTTTCCCTCATATGTTTACTATTTTGAAAGGAACGGGACCCAACATACTGCTGAGCTATCAAGTCACCAGTTGGTGCATCGAGCAGCCATGCAGCCACGATAGCGCCCGCAACATGCGCGTTGTTGCACAACGGCATCGCCGTCATGTGGGAACCAGCCATCTATGGCTGCTGCTGTTGGGTTGCTGGCCATGTGCACAGTCCAAATGTTGGTTCGGTTCGGGTCATGTGTCAGCCATGTTGATGAATACACGAATTGACAATGAGCTTTTCAATGGGGTGTCTAAAGGTAGCTATGACTTGTGAACCGTATCAGTGCCGTATCAATCACTTTTTGCTATAGAGGATGATGATTCACAAGTGACTTTTCTCGTGTTTTCGTTTCTTTACATTCTATCCCCAAAAAAGGAGATCCATTTAGTTTCTTTTTGCTTTCCGTTTAGGGCTGCTGTTGTGGCGTTTGGTTTCTTGGCTTCTCGTCGTCGTGGCTTTTGCGACTCTTGTCTCCGTTGCTTGTGTGACTTTGGGCTGGCGGGTTTTGTGCTATCCTGGCAGTATGCCGCAACTATTGGCGGACAACACGTAAAACATGTCAAAGGATAAATCACAAAAGGACATCCAGTTTGAAATAGCAAAAACACGAGCAAGACTTCCAGGCAAAAACGCTGCAAATACAGTTCAGGCAAGCAGTGTGATCAGTGCGCAAACAGCAAGAACACATGATATATGCTAATATATACAGCAACAAAAATGCCAAGAAAGACTAAATCCAACATCACACAGCAAAAATGGGGAGAAAACTATGCCAACGGCAGAACATACGCAGAGGTGATTTCGTTTTGGGGCATCCTCTGCTCCTTTTTTGTGACCCAAGAAAGTGGCAAAACCACCCTTCGAAGACATTCTCTCTACCTTAGTTGACCAGAGGTTAAAAAGACTGAATCGATCAAACGATAGCCCAGACCTTGCCCATGGGTTTGTTTTTTTTGTTTTTTGTTGGTTTTCTCGAGGTTTTGGCCAAACTGCAAAAAACCATGGAAAAACAAAAAAAAAAGTTCAGACCCATGTCCCCTGCCAGGCCTCTCCCCAGACCTTGCCCATGGGTCTGAACTTTTTGTTTTTTTTTTTGTATTTTGTGTTTTTTTTCCATTGTTGTTTTGCATGTTTTTCATGTGAAGATGCTTTCATCACAGTACCTCTCAAAAAAAAAAGCGCGTCTCTACAATTTGCACACCTGCGCCCCCCAGGCCAAACTGCAAAAAAAAACATGGAAAAAACAAAAATCATTCATTGACTTATATAATGATTAATGTCATGACTTATTTATTCAAGAATATAATGACTAATATAATGACTAATATAATGACTAATATAATGATTAATATAATGATTAATAAAATGATTAACAAAATGATCAATATCATGATCAATATAACGATTAATATAATGATTAATTTAATGATTATTGTAATGAAGAATATAATGATTAATATTGTGATTATTATCATGATTCATATAATGATTAATGTAATGATTAATAAAATATTACTAATACAATGACTAATATAATTAATATAATGATTAATATAATGATTCATATAATGATAAATATAATGATTCATTTCATGATTCATTTAACGACTTTTATAATGACTAATATAATGATTAATATAATGATGTATGTTGGCTGATATAATGTTTATTTTATTGACTAATATAATGATTAATGTAATGACTAATTTAATGACTAATATCATGATTAATACAATGACTAATTTAATGAATTATATAATGAATGATATAATGATGATTCATTTAATGATTCATTTAATGATTAATATAATGATTCATATAATGATTCACATAATGATTCATATAATGATAGATATAATGATTCATTTAATGACTTATATAATGACTAATATAATGACTAATATAATGATTAATGTAATGACTGCATGGAAAAAAAGTGCACTCCCACAGCGGCCAGCTCTCAAAAAAAATACCTCACTGAACTCAGCTTGTGAAGCGCTTGGCTTGGCGGGCTGTAGTTGCAGCATTTTGCAGCTCTGCAAGGAAAGCTTCCCAAACTGGAAAACACCAAACAATCCCATTAAAAGAAGCATATGGCATATGGGCATGGGTCAATGTCACTAAATGATGCCATTATGAACACACTATTTTCATCTTCACCAGAGATGGCCACCATGGATTTCCATGGCCACTGAGGTTTCGGCATGACCTTGGCCATCCCGGCGCCGGCGCCGCAGCGCTTCTCGGAACACGCCAATTGGCTCATCCCGGGACGTTTGATGCTGGGCTCCCTGGACGTCAAATTTTGCTACCGCTTTTCGAAGTAGTGCGCAATACATTCAATGTATAGCAACAAAAAATATAACAAACAAAACATGGCCCAGGGCCCAGGGTTCCTCTTTCGAAGCATGACTCAGATTGTGTGTGGGTGTATGATTGATTTGTTTTACATGCATCTGGCAAGTTTGTCAACGCATGTGACGTGAGCTAGAAGCTTTGCTAAGCATGAGAACCAGCAAGAAGTTTTTACAGGATACTCAATATATATGATCAGAATTCCCTGACAAGATGACAAGGGCCCTATGACGAGGTCATCCATCGGATCAACAGCTTTCAAACTTGGATGACTGTTAGAAGGCGATAAGACCCCTTCTGACCTTTTTCCTTAGAGTCTATAGAGGATGAAAGCCGTTCTATCTTGTTTGGGTGGCTGTGTCGCAAGAGTTTGAACCCAGACCGACAAGTCCAGCAAATTTCCTCCAGATCCAAGGCAGATATCCGTTCGTGAGCCCAGTGTATTGCCCCTCGTTGTCAGAAGGCCATGAGCAACTTCGCAGTCTTTTGGAGGCACGGCCAAAGAACGGCATGTGACGACGGTTTTTATACTTGCCTGTGACGAAGTGAATGAGATTTGTTCTGATATGTTCCGATGTATAATGTATGTTTAGGTTTAATAGGAATTTATGGACAGCTCTCAGCTTTAATGTAACCTTTGAAATTTTGCATATTACTCAAAATTTGTTGGGATGAACATACTGTGGCGGTTCTTACTTTGCACTCACTTCACTGATCTTCATGGTGATGGGTCCCTACCAATTGCAAATTGAAGTGTGACATTGGTTTGTCTCAAAACGAGGGATATCCGATACCCCATTTAACTGATAAAGCTTGTGGTTATTGGGTGTTCCAAATGTTTAGACTACCTAATTACTTCCAACATTCCCAAGCCAAGATCACAAGCCTTACATCCTTAGATGGTCTGAAAAAAAGGATATCTATACAGGTGAGAGCTTTTGGCCCATCATCTGGGGTGATCCGTGGCCAGATTGGAATCAACACCTTTGTTTGTTTACAGCCACTTGGCGGCGGTGTAGGGGCAGGGTGACAATTTCAGAGCGCATGATCCACTGGAAAGAATGAACTTGCTTGAACCATGAACGGATGCGCTTGGGAGAGCAGGGTATGTTCGGATATTGCTACTTGGATGTTCCATGTGCCTTATCAAATTTATATTATATGAGACTATGTATATATTTATATATTATATTGTTATATATATATATATACAATTATATATATATATACAATATATATATATACAATTATATATATATATATATATACATATATATATATACAATTATATATATATACATATATATATATATGTCCACACATACTGTATATATGTATATATTATTAAATGTATGTTTGTAAACAGTGATGAACCGAACAAACCGGTGCCTCTTAGATAGATAAGTTGATTTGTAAGTAGCCCAACGATTGGATTGATGGTGGATTAATCGCTCCAGTTGCGTGTGTGAAGATCGACCAATTTACATCCATTGACGTCTATTACTGTATTGATATATTGATTATTCATGATTATTTTAGTATATCAGTGAATGTATCACATTGTATAATGATCTAAAATATTAATCATTATATAAAGTAAGATATTTATATAGTGATTATGAAGTATGGACACCATCATGAAAGTAGTTCCTATTATTTGAAGAAACACATAGTAACTCAAAAACACAGTAGCATCACACTAAATGAGTGATGAGTTACTTGTCTATCTTTCTTTGGGGGTACGACAATTCAATTTATATATATATATATCATTATTATATATGTATCTAGAGTTATGGCCCTTCACAATCATGGGATGAAATATCTCCTGCAACTCAGGTCAAACACATCACTTACATGAGGTTTTCAAAACCAGTTGTGAAAAGGGCTATAAAAATAGGTACGTTTTTTTCACTAATCCCATGGCCCATCCAAGTGTACCATAATCCTGTATATATAAATATATAGAGAGAGAGAGTTTGTAAAAACCCCGCGCCTATTTGTTTAGTCTTCCATGATCCCCCATGAGCCATTTTTAGCTTTCACTCGAAAAAACGATAAGAGGAAAAAAAAAGATAACGTTAGTTATGTTAATGATCTGTGTCCAGACTCTTGAAATCCAAAGTTCTTGATTTTTCCATCACTCTGCGGCTATTTAGTGCTTTTGGTCTCTTCCTTTCATGGTTTGTTGCCGTAATGGCGCAAATTCTGCGCAAGGAAGGTGCCTGGTAGGTGGTCGCTACACTCCTTTTTTGATGATTGCAGCCATGTCCAGAAAAAAATGGAACACACAGGCTTCACGAACGATAACAAAACGATAACGAAAACGATAACTTTTGGCATCAAAAATGGTCCGTGTGAGACACTGCCTTTTTTTCCCCTTTTCCTCTCCCTTTCCTTTCCTTTCTCCTGTCTCTTCCTTTACTCTTCCTTTTCCTTCTCCTTTCCTTTTACCTTTCCTTCTTCCTTTCCCTCTTCCTTTCCTTTTTCGTTTTCTTTTCCGTTCCTTTTCCTTTCGTTTTCCTTTCCTTTTCCTTTCGTTTCCTTTTTCCTTTCCCTTTCCCTTTCCTTTCGTTTCCTTTTTCCTTTCCCTTTCCTTTTCCTTTCCCTTTCCTTTTCCTTTCCTTTTCCTCTCCCTTTCCTATTCTGTCCTTTTCCTTCCTTTACTATTCCTTTTCCTTTTCCCTTTCCTCGCTGATGTGAATTCTTTGATCAGGGTGTGAAGCCAGCGCTTGGAAAAACGATACGAGGAAAAAAACCGATAACGTCTGGAAAAACCATTTGAAAGGGCTCGGGGTTTTTACAAACCTTCATATATATACAAATAAATACAGTATACACATATTTACATATATTAATACTTATTAGATGGGCATATATTATCTGATTGGTGGTTTGGAACGGTTTTTATTTGTCCATATATTGGGAATGTCATCCTCCCAGCTGACGAACTCCATCATTTTTCAGAGGGGTGGCTCAAAACCACCAACCAGATATAGATCTATATAGTTATAGATGATGTACCTATTAAAATGGTGATTTTCCATGGCTATGTTACATAAATAAAGGGTATATATATATATATATTGATACTTATTTGATGGGCATTATTCATTCCACCCGGTGCCCAGGCTCCATCCCTTGGCAGGTCGGAACTTCCATCCCAAGAGGTGGCCTGGCCTTCGCAGGGCGTTGCCGTGCCCGGCTTTCCGGGCGCCTTTCGGCCCTACGGCGCCGTCCTCGCGCGCCTTTCGGAGACCACGGAGAAGCTGCAGTTTCTGCATCTGGGACGGCGGGATCATTGGAAACCCCCATGATTTCATAGTAAAAACATGTAAAAGCCCATGGTTTCCGGTGATTTTCCCTAAAAATCAAATGATTGGAAGAGTTCTATGGATTTACATTGGGTTTAGATGGATTATTAGAACCCATAGTAGGGAACCTTTTTGATGGCTGACATGGATTTAGATGGAAGATATATGATACTCATATTTAGATGGAAGAGATATATATATATATAATCCATCCGTGTGTCTGAAGATGGTGTATTCCCTCCAAATGGCCATTTTAATAGGAGAAACGATGGTTAACTAAAAGATTCAGGAGTACCAAGCAAATTAACAATGGAAACTAACTCAAATGGCCACTTGAATAGAAAAAATGATGATTTACCAATTTACCAAAATATTCGGGAGCACGTAACATAGACCCTGGAAATAGCAAATTTATAGTGGGAAACTGTGGGAAACTCATCTTATCTTCCAAGTTGCCAGGGTCTATGATGTGGGAATGGAACACCCCCAAAAGGATGGAATGGACCGTTTTTTTCTTTATGACCCGTTTACAAACATACAAAAAAGTGTTATAAATGGAATTATAACCGTTACAACTAAGGTTTTCTTTTTACATAAATATCATAAACCTTAGTTTTCATGATAACTATGCCCCATATAATTGCTATTTTTAGCCATCAAGCTATGACTTGTTGTATGGGCCATAGCTTTGGCGCCTCTCAAAGGCGATGTTGGGGGCAGGTGGTGTTCCATAGGATGTGGAACGTGGTGCCCCCCCCCTTAGTCATCAACACTATACTGTAGTTATATAATGTTATGCATCTATGATCATATATGTGTATATACACTATTGTGTATAATACACCAATAACTATGTATGTATAGTTATTTGCGTATTATAAACAATAGAAGCTGGCATTATCTAAACCCCAACTTAGCGATTTCGTGGCCACGGGGCCCCACTTTGTATGCTAGGTATACCAGAGGGTAAATGTTGAAAGTCTAGGCTTGAGGTCCAAGATGGACCCAAATCATTTAGCAACTGGCAATCTTTTTGTTGCCTTACCAATCTCGGGATTGCTGAGGCTGATTTTTTTCACTTCCCACTTTCGGCAATGCACCATTTAGGAGGAATATATCCATTGGTTTTTTGTATATGTTTTGTTTGACTGGCCTACTTGGGTTGAAGTCGAGGGTTTTTGTTTCGACACAGCACTGACTCCCGTGCTGGGGCCCGCAGCCAAGGCACTCGCCAATTGCGGAGCTATCCTTAGTTGTTTCAGGGGTGCGAGTCAGATCTGCATTGTTTGCTGCATCCACAAACTGACTTATGTAGCGGGTTTGGTCATCATATCTGAGGGAAACAAGCTCAAAATCAGCCAAAGAGACTTGGGGCAGTGTCTCAGTGATGGTGAAGGGTGCTTTTCTTGTACCATTCATGGAGGATCAGCCTTTTGGTAATTCAACACCGCAATTACCATGGCCATGTTCCACGGACTTTTAGATGACGTTTAGAGGGTTTTTCGTGCGGCATTTTGGATGGTTACGGTTAAACGGTTAAACCATGTTAAACCCACCTTTTTGATGGTTAAGTCATGTTAAGTCCACATTGTGTTGGTGAATACCCTCCATTTTGGCATTTTGGATGGAGAACCTCGGTCGCTGAGGACTTGGGTACTCCCGGCCTGGGTGAGCTTTCAGCACTGGTGCGCGACCTGAAGGAGCGCAGCTGGACAGGTCTTGAGAAAATATGATGTGCTATGCTGCTATACCCAATACGTCCCACAAAGTGGGGGCGCTGTGGTCACGAAATCGCTAACTTGGGGTTTACATAACTCCAACTATATGGTCTACGATACTTATAACTATGGTTGATGGGGGCTATAAACCAACTCATATATAACTGGTGCATCTTTGTTTGGGGATCTGTCCCAAGAAGATCGAAAAAGGGACCCATTCATCATTACCATAGCCACATGGCTGGTCAAAACTGTGGTACCTTGCTCAAAATAGCTGGTAAATGGCAAAGGTACAGTTATGGTCATTTATTAGTTACAACTGGTTATGTCTATGGGATTATACATTCTATAAATGGGGTTTTCTTAGTACTTATAACTGGTATTTCGGGCCATAACTGTTACGTATGATAGGTTTGACTCATCCCCATATTTCAACAGAAACATGTTGAACTTCCAGCCCAGGTATTCTCCGCGGTGAGAAGATCTACCTGCATTGTTGGGGGGGCCGCGGCCGCAGTGGTGACGTGGCCAGGGATGTCCGGCGAGATGGGTGCTGGAAGGAGTCATCCGGGCATACCATATATGCGATGTATCGGATGTGTGGCCTTCTGTGGATATGTTTCTTGGTTCGTGGTGACTGGAACCATGGAATTTTATGACTTTCCATATCTTGGGAATGTCATATTCCCAACTGACGAACTCACTCCATCATTTTTCAGAGGGGTGGCGAAAAAACACCAACCAGTTTTTGGTTTTTATGGTGAACATGGGGATCCAGTACATCATTGGATTTTACCGGAGCCTGTGGTTGGACAAAGCCGCATCCGGTGATTCTCTTGTGTCGCTATGGTTTCGAGACGAAGGACAGGCTTATAGTACCCTTTAATCGAGGTCGGGACAAGGTATACCGCCTGTACTCTGCATGTGAATAGTTAGGTGCAAAGCTCCTTGGAACATGGAAGTTGTATCTTTGATTTCTTTGCTAAGGTTCTTCTGGTTTCATGTTCAAATTATTGGAGCATTGTTGTTCATGAACCATGCGTAATCATGTCATTATTCAAAATGTGTTGCTGACATGACATATATCTGGTTGGTTTGGAACATTTTTTATTTTCCCATATATTGGGAATAATCATCCCAACTGACTTTCATATTTTTCAGAAGGGTTGAAACCACCAACCAGTATCACTTTACACACCAATGTTTTTTGTTTTTAATATTACAGGCCGACCGCACCAAAGTGATGATGCGATGTTTACCATCTTCAGGCGTAGAACGCGCCATGCACAAAAACAAAACACTTGTACATACCCTGAAATTAATCAGATATATAAGCAGTTAAAACCATTAGCAATTCTCATGATCAATGGATTCTATCAACACTTTTCTCCGTTGAACACCCAACACATCCCAACACATACAATCTGCAAAGTTCTTTTGGAGCATTCCACTCTGATCACCAATGGGAGGATGTGGGTTTAGCATGGTCTAATCACATATCCTGCAACAAAAACAAGCTTTAGAAGGGGATCAGCAAATCACGAAGATATTGAAAGCATGGTCCAACAGATGTGGTGTGGAGTTTATTTAATAAATATTCAATTATATAGATGTATCGCGAATTATCATGAATTATCCGGATGCAATACGTATCTCTATTTGTTTCGTTGTTATAAAGATACAATAAGATACACATTCTGTATATGTATACCTAGAGACTCGAGCGGCATCAAAATTTTGATGCTGGTCTAGCAAAACAGTGTTTCATCTGATTGCCGCTGAAATTTCTGGCATGCGCCGTTCTTTGGGAAACAAATATGGTTTTAGATTTTGGTGTTGGAATGCGCCGTTTTTGCCAATGATTGCACCGTTTTTGCCCGTGATTGCGCCGTCCTTGCCCGTGCAGAATTTCCATTGCGCCGTTTTTGTGGAATTGCGCCATGTTTTCTACATTGCGCCATTCTTGTGGACTTGCGCCTGATTTTTTTGTAGGTTGGGAATGCGCCCGAAATTTTGGATACATGAGTCTCTAGGTATGCCACCCCCCAAAAAAAATGCTTACAAGGCTGCGTTTCACCTCGGATGCGAGGCCCTGTTTTAAGTGTTCGTTGTTTCATATTTGGTTCACCAGTTATCCAGTTGGGATGCACATAACTATGGCCCTGGCCCAACATTTATGGCCGATGAAATAACTCTTGCAACTAAGGCGATTTTCTACACCTTTTATATAAGCTTTCTGAGCCACTTAATTAATGCCAGTTATAACATGTTATAACTGTGAAAATGGCTCCATTTTTTTTTATCACTTCTATCCCCATTGTCTGTTTATTCCCAGAATTCATCAGTGATATTCCCATATCAGTGAATTTCCCATCATGTTCCCGTAACACTCATAATATCAGTGAAAACAATCAGTGATATTCCCATAAATTTCCCAGAATATTTTTCAATATTCCCATAATGATGGACATATCACTGATAAATTATTAATATCACTTGTAATATTATTAAATATCCCGAAAATAGTGATTACTGGTTGGTGGTTTCGAAGGTTTTTATTTTCCATTTCATATATGGGATGTCATCCTTCCCATTGACGAACTCATATTTTTCAGAGGGGTGGCTCAACCACCAACCAGGATTATTAGTGAAACTGCAGGCCCCCCCACCTTTTATCGAGGCGTGGTGGGTGCCTGTCTGCTGGGTGCCTTAGATCCAAATCTCTCGGCGGAGGAGGCGTTGGACTTCGTACAGAGTGGCTACAGCCTGAGGCGCACGGAGAAGTTGGGCGATTCGACCAGTCGAAAGCCATGCAGATATGGCCCAAGTTATACCAGTTATAAGTACAGAAAGAAATCCCCATTTATGGTTTAGGTAGAATCCCATTGAAATAACCAATTATAACTAATAGCCATGGCCATTTCACTGTGGTCACGTAACCCTGTAGATTTGGAGATATGATGGACATATTACTATAGGATATACATCTGTAGTCTGATTGTTGATGATTTCAGAGTCTCTTTTTATTATTATGTTTGCAGCTTTCAACCTGTTGGTCCAGTTGGTGAGATTTATGACGCTTTGACATGCGGACAGAATTTTTTCCCATTTCGCCCATCCGAAGGATTTATAATCAGATATCGATCCTCATCGTTGCTGGTCAACCATGATGACATCATGATATATCACATGATCTCAAATCTATATATGTGTGCAATAAAATGTAAATATATATATATATTTATATAGCTTGGATAAGCCATTGTTTTCTTAGAAGTCCAACATGTTTTGGTTCTTTGCTGTGCAAAACCTACTCTTCGGATTGCAGAGATAACCGCAGGGCGAGCGCCTTGGACGTGGGCGCATTGTCGCGCAGTCCACAGACGCCTGAGCAGCGCGACTTCGTGCGGAGATGGTTCGAACAGATGAGGTGACGAAGTAGTTGCTATACAGCTTTTAGATGATTCCAGGGACTTGCTTACTGACCAATAGTATGCGTGTGTATACGTTTGTATATATATATACACATTATACAGATGCACTATATATATATAATATATATATATATATAATATATATATATAATATATATATATATATAATATATATATTTATAATATATATATATATAAATAATATACAATATATAGGGCTATCATCATTCATGGATCTCCGTGGTGTCAAATCCTCTTAACAAAGCAGTAAGGAAAGGTTTGAACACTAGGTGATCAGCCTTGAGGGTCAAACTTTGTTTGACCGGGACACCCATGATATTTCTAGTTTTGAATCTATAGGAGTTACCAATAGATTCACTATATTTTTAGTAACTCTGCAATAGCATGTAATAACAACTTCCCTGATTTTTAGTAGCTGACTCTGCAAATCTATTGGGGGTGTAATTAGGATCAATAGCGATGCAGTGGGTTATCTCAACATAGCCATGTGGCGACCTGGCTCCATTAACCTGGCAATTTGGGGGGTTGAGACGCTATAGATCCATGTGTTGGAAGGATACTTCCTAGATTCAACTGGGAAACCCGAGAGCCAACTTCCCAGCTTGTGGTTACGGTTCCAAGATGTTCTAAGTATTTATACATTCCATGTGCCCACACACACACACCCACCCACCCACCCACCCACACGCACACGCACACGCAGATACACAAATGCACGCAGACATAAATACATACTGTATGTATAATAATGATAATAGTAGAATTAATGATAATAATGATGATAATATTAATAATAGATATGTACAATTGCATGTAAGATGATACTGTGAACGGATTGATCTAAATCCAAACGTGCATGAGCTCTACAGATTTGTTGCCTTTCACACCAAGTGGTTTCACGCAGTGTCGGCATCTGGGCACAAAGGCCTGCCTGGGTGCCAAGGTAGGTTCTGGGCAGAAACAAGCTGGTCGATGCGTCCATGAGTCCAGAAAGAATGCGGGAGGGACCTGAACCAAGAGGTGTTCGTATGTTTGTGGAGATGTTGTGACATCCTAAAGCACAGTCCTGTGTTTAGTCTCCAGCATTCCAGTTGCTATATGAGAGATTTGAGTTGTCCAAACGGTGAAAGGCAAAGAAGTCAAAACATGGTGTTGATGGAGATTCCGACTCGTCGGGTCTCGCTGATGTCTTCACATCTCTTGATGCTGTTTTTATTTCCCAGCCTATATATATATATATACACATATCAGTGAAGAGTGGCTTTGGGCTCGACTTAACTTGCCATCCCTACATGAGCAGAGATGGTACCGGCGCTTGACCTGTGCTGCGCCGTCGCAGGAGAAAGTCCAGCAGAAGGTGGTGAAAGAGTTGAAATCACAGATGGAGCCTCAGAATGACCAGGAAACCCATCACGGAAACCGTTGCAGTGAAGGGCCCTTAACAGTTGTAAAACGGGATTAACTCCTATAATTCAGGCTATATAATGTTATATATATATATATACACATCATTTCATCCAGTTATAACTGTTAAGGGCTCTGGCTATAACTATGGGTACGTCAGCAATGACCTCACAGTGACCTCACCTTTGGGGAATCCCCGATGGGGTGCTCTACAGTGAAATGTCCGTGGCTATTAGTTATAAGTGGTTATTAACCTATGGGATTATATATACATTCTATAAATGGGTGTTTTCTTAGTACTCATAACTGGTAAACCTATGAATGGGCTTATTAACCTATGGGATTATACCTAAACCATCAATGGGGTGACTTGTTTAGTACTTATGACTGGTATATAAAGGGCCATAAGTGTAAGGCAGGATTGAGACATGATTATTTTTCAAAACCAAGATTGTCAGGGAAGAATATATGAGAATCTATGAGAATCTATGAGATAGGACATGGGTTTGTTTGAAGATGGTAGCCTCAATTCCAACAGACATCATTGATGGCACGTGGCTATTTTTTCACGTGTATGCCATAAACATGTCACTTGAAGACTTGAAGGGATTTCCAAAAAAAAACAAACATTCAACCCCAATTCCCCTGATCCCAAGTTATTTGCACGGAAAGTGCATAGAAAGCGGCTGTGCAAACGCGATCTTCGGGGTCCCAGAGTGCGTTTTGAAAGGTGAAATGGGGATGGTTTGTTATGGTATCCTTGCAGATTGACAATATGGCTTTGTTATGGTTTGTTTAAAAATAGATTACCCCAAAATCCAATGGCGAATCATGAAATTATACATTACAATGGGTAATTATATCCCATTCTCAGACAAAACCCACTGATGAGTTGATAGATTTTCAACAAGAAAAATCAGGTTCTGACCAAGAAACAACAGGATTTTAGGAAGATGCAATAAAGATTTCACCAGCAGAAACATTGTACAAGGGCGCGTAGGAATATACATTCCATTGTTCAAATACGCACGTGCCATCTTCATGAACACGTTCCTTAAATCTCATGATTACCTGTGTATTTCCATCATACTTTGAGTCATAGAGGTTTCCGTTAAGTCATGGAGATAGCTCAGATATTGAAACCTGTATATAAATATAAATAGAAATACATATATATATATACGTTTCCACATATATATATATATACATAATTATAAATATATGTTATCCATATATATATATATATATATAGTACCCCAAGTTATTCAGTCATGGATGACCATGACTTAGTAAAGCCAGAAGCTCGCCAGGTTGGATCAGCGGCTCACGCACTTGGCCTGTCAGGTGGAGGAGCAGCACTCCGCAGCTCGCGAGGGAAGATGGGATAGCTGGAAATCATTGGTTAATCGACTGTTATGAAGCTATTACCCTCTGGTAAACTAACAGAACTATGGAAAAACACAATTTTTAATGGGTAAATCAACTATAAATGGGCAATTTTCAATAGCTATGTTAGTTTACCGGAGGGTAATTGAGGTCCAAAAAGCTGGAAGAATTGAAGGTCCAAAAAGCTGGTATGAACCATGTCAATCCCCCAATAGCTGGAAGGTCCAAAAAGCTGGAACAAGGATGATTTTTCCAGGGATTTCGTTGGATTTCGTTAGATTTCGTGAACCCGGATGACTCCCCCGTAAAAGGGGTTGTTCAACTTCGGTGTGTGCTGGAAATCCCTACAGTAACCAACAGTGAAATGGCCATGGCTAGTTATAACTGCTTACTAACCTATGGGATTATACCTAAACCATAAATGGGTTGACTTGTTCTATATTGTTAGATCTAATGTCAACCCTGGATTAATAAACCCCAAACGGCTGTTTAATTGGGAAGGTACCATTTCAGTATCAACTCATAACTATTGGGGGAATACCCCCTAATTAATAAACCATGGTTTTGTAATCCGGGGTTGACATTACTTATAACTGGTATATCAAGGGCCACGAAATGACCGATACGACACTTCGCTATCCGATACGACAGGACGTGGCTCGCAGTCAAAGCGCGCTGCAGGCGGATCTTCAATCGCTGGTGCCGTCCCTGGAAGATGCAGGGGTTCATACGGGTCACCACCGGTGACCCTGGGGGATACAATTAACGATGTGGAAAGCCTATGGTTTCCCGTTCGGAAACTTACAAATGGCGGGTTATCATGGTTATGTGGATGTTTTTGTGGATTGTTGGCTAAGCACATGGGAATCGAACTGCAAAAAACATAAGGTCTTTGGTATGGGCAGGTTACTTAAGAAAACACAAAAATGGTTGGCGGGTCGGATACTGTTGAACCATAGAAATGAGATGCTTGTCCAAGGACAACTATCTATATATATATATATATTATATATATATATATATTTGGGTGTGGTTTGAAAACGGAAGCGAGGTTTCCTTGGTTTCAAAAATCGGAAGTACCCCTGAACATGTTTTTTCTCTTTTAAGGGATTTTATGGGTAGCAATTGTTCAGGTCAGAAAAAACATCTTCTAACCACGATTTGCATTTGGAGAGAGAACAGTGAAATATGCAGGAATTCAAGAGGACGCAAACGACATTGGGACAACCTTGTTTTTCTTTCTTGGTGATTGGTGACTGGGTAACCGACTGGGTAACCTGTATTGGGATACTTTGGGTAAATCATGGTGGAGGCTGTTGTAGAATTCATTAGACATAACCAGTCCAGTCGCATGCGTATGAATCACATTTATCGGGATAAATTATAACGACATCACCGTTCTCCCGACCCCTGGAATCATGGGTTTTTATCGAAAAATCATCCCCAAGATAGCCGCAACTTTCAGGTGAGTGATTTTTTTCTTAGCCAGATTTATATAGTCCAATGAGTCCAATGGGGATTTTTCATCAGAAACATGATGAGTTTTTTAATTTTTCTGTATGCAACATTGAAACTATCAGGTTTCTTGTAATTTGTGGTTTGTTTTTAGGTGTTTTTTATGTTGGCAGATGTTGGCGCCGGCACTTCCGCATCGCAAATGGAGGGGCGCCCCTGGTGGCAAAGTTCGAGGTTTCATCTCTCAGGCTGACCGCATGCTTCGCCAGCAGGCTGCGATGCACCTGTGACAAGGCGATCTCGTTGTTAAACCAACGAGTCACGTTGGCGAGGGCTATAGCGGCTAGACAGATTGGCCGATGGTTTCCAATTCTCCCGTCAAAATTGCGGGAGTTCCACTGGCTATGAAATCACACCGCTCAATCTGCGGCTAGAAAGTGAATGATTCACATTTTTTGTCTGCAGGTTGTCGGAGGAAACACAACTGTATGTTGTTAACTCCATGCCACTAAGAATCGGCCGAGCTACTATGGTTCTGAAATAAGACCACTTAGATTATCCCATTCCGAAGCTTTCAGCAGTTTTCAAATCTTCAGCCGTATTGTCACCAAACACATGGCTAGGGGATGCCATTGCTGCCCAGGTTGCACCTACACACACACACACCCGCGCGCGCGCTTTAATTTCCAAAGTGATTGATGGTAATTGATGACCATCCCATCTCCAAGTTTCTCAAAGTTTCTCTTAGTCCTAAGTTGAAATTGTTTCTTGTTGGCTTTTCATACTATATGGATCTCGACCTCAACCACCAAGGTGTCCAAAGTGCAGCGGCCAATGGATGCGGGTGACTACGAGATGGCTCTTAGGCCACCGAAGAACTTTTTCTGAACGGATTTTGTAGCCCAAATTCCTGAACATAGCAATGGAAAATTGCCATTTATAGTGGATTTTCCCATGAAAAATGGTGATTTTCCATTGCTATGTTAGTTCACCAGAGGGTAGCCCAAATTCCTTGAAATCTTCAGAGTCGGTGCCCATACCAGTCTCAAATCCCAACTTGAAGCGATGGGTTGCCACAGGAAATTGACCAGCAACATGGAAGATATCCGATCCTTGATCGTCAGGGGCTGAGAATGGCTGTCAAACCTTTACCGTGAGGCAGTCGAAATGATGGTTCGTTTATGTTCGTTTGGCTCGACTTGATCCTCGCCTTGCTTGTTGGCAGATTGGGAAAATTGCAATCTACAGTAGTTAAGGCCATTCATTAGTTATAACTGGTTATAATTGGGATTATAGATTCTATAAATGGGGTTAGAAGTACTTATAACTGGTAAAGGGCCATAACTGTATTTGTTTGATGTTTGGTTTTTGAAATGGTCTTGGAAATTGCAAGGTGAGTGCCCCTCAGCTAATCACGAAATGTAGTTCTTGTGGTGCTATCTTGAGTTTTACTATTGGGAGTAAATGGGAGGGTGGCACCCGTTTATACGTCCGAGGAAGCAAGGGTTTATGGATGTTTATGTTACATGATCCCATTATCCTAATTAAAACTCCCCCAAATGCTCCTAAATATATGTAATTCATGAAAATTCCCTATAGACTCTATGGTTTCAAAGTTGGGAGTATTTAATAAGGGAAGTGATTATATCTACGACTGGATGTCTGGGTAATCAGCCATCACTGGGGCGCCTTGTACCAAGGCTTCGCCCGTGTCGCCACGCAGAGGTCGCTTCCTAAGCCATGGGGGACCCCCAAATCCAGTATTGAACAAGGTGGTGCCCCCCAAACGTTATAAATTTATTTATAAACACCATTAACTATAGATATATCACCTATAAAACTATATAGTTATTGGAGTTATAAACCAACTTAGCTATCTAGGGGGCACCACCTTGAAGGTTTTGGGGATCCCCAAGTTCAAGAACACCCCAGTGCTGAATAGTGACGATTTTTTTTTTAATAATCTAGATGTTTTGTTGGTGAATCTTTTACTGTAGATGTATTTTTACAATATGAACTCCGTGTTGCGCCGTAGCTGGTGCTTTTGGTGGCTCGTTATGGACTAGTTATGGACAGATGATCTCTGTAGTCCCATCCCCCGTAGAATCTTCAGCCCCTTTCTATGGTCCCAAATCGGTACAAATCCTTAGACCATGGGCTTTTGGGTGGTTTTTGATATCACAAAAATAGGATTGTAAATACATGTAGTGTGTGATTGTCAGTGTTGCAAACGGAGTTGGCGGCTCCGGAGTTCGCTTAGCCGGTTAGGGAGAGCCTCAAAAGAAACGGTCGGATCGGTTGATCGGTTTGGGCAGATCTCATGTCTTTCTTGACATGATGACGAGAGAGGGCAGATAGCAAGATGTTAGCAATCGGACTGTAATATCAAGACACCAAAAAATATTTAGTGACGCCATGCTTGACCTCCTTTGTACCCCCAACAGTCATGGCATTTAGTAGATTCTTGAGATCAATGGTCCAGCATATGGACAGCAAGCACCTATTCGAAAGAAGTTTCATGTTGCGATCGGGACCCACCTCTGACATGCAAGGGAACATGACAAGAATCCCCACAGCCCCCTGGGGTTGCTGTTTCCGTATCATAGGAATGAGAGGTGGAAAAATCACTTGGAGCCTTCAGGAGTCAATTCAAATTTCCAAACGTGGCTAGTAGCTGTGTTGTAAGGCCTTTTGCGACGACGTATATACAGTTCCCACTTGGTGATCATGGATCTGAATGCAGCCATGTCAGGGAACATGATGTTTGAATACGGTTAAAGGTTGGCGTCCCCCTTTGTTCAAACAAGCCCAAGATTCAAAAATCCAAGATGGAAATTATTTATAATTACCGTCTTCACATCCGTTAACATACCATGACTATGTTTTCGGCAGTGTGAATGATGTTTGTTTCACCTACGTGTTTATTATTCAGTTGATATTCACTGCCATATATGACTCAGAAACCATCCAAGCTTGCGTTTCCAAGTCAAATCCTTCAGGCAGCCGGGCCAGTAGTCCAGGGCCGCCCGGCCCAGGCGCGAGATCGGTGAATGATGTGAATGGTAGGTCAATTGGATTCAATTGGCGATTTTTTTCATTTTCGAAGGCTGACAATGGAAGACAACATCACTTAGCACATCTTAGCACCGGACAACAGTGGCGTCAGTTGTGGCGTCAGGATCTTTCGTGGGTCAAAGCTCCAGGTGCCGGGGTTGGAGTCGGCGGAATCTTCTTGGAGATGGCACGCAACTCCCGATACTTCAATCTGACTCACCCAACCCAACAATACCCAACACATATAGAATGGATTTATGGTAGATATATCACACTCAGATGGGTTTTGAATCTACTTCAAAAACAAAAAATTGGAGATATCAGTGATACCAGTCCAGACGGCTTTTTCAATAGACCAAACATGACCAATCAGTAATTTATATGTTGTGGGGGGCATCATCAACAGTATCCATTGATGAACTTTTCCAATTGCCAGGCCGTGGCACGAAGCTTCGCCAAATGCTGCAGTTTCTTGAACCTGGAGGAGAAACAAAAAATATAGTTACAGTTGAATCATCTATAAATGCTACATTTTCGATAGCAATAGCTATGTCTATGTTAGTTTACCAAAGGGTAAGTGCTTGTATCAAGGGCCTACTGCTTGAATGCTTAAACTATCTTAAACTAAGGTTTATTGAGCTGGGGTGCAGTGGAATCATGATAAGTGGGGGCCATATTTCACCATAGTTGTAGGTGCCCTATATCCCCAGTTACAGTATGGTGGCTTAAAATTCCATACTTACTATAGTTCTACTCATGACAATTTGCAAATGTCTATATATATAATATATTCAATCTTGTTAATAGCTTCAACTGCACCCCCAAGTAGTTGATGCACCCAACAATCTGAACCATCTGCAGTTGCTGGGGCTGCACCAGTTGGAAGCCCATACTGGACGATCGCACCTTGCTCCGCAAGCCGCCAGAGGTGGCCCGCTGATTCAGCGATGGCAGAGAGAGTCTGCACAAGGCAGCCGGAGCCCGGAGGGCGGTTGCCATTTCGCGCGAAGCGCCGCGAGAGGAAGTCCGGTTGGTCATCTCCAAGCGCGGCCTGCGGCCAAGCTCCCTCGCAACTTTGATACGTGGAGCGTGAAACCCATGGGGTTTTCCTGGCAAGGTGTACCACCCCGGCAAGGAATGGCAAGATAATTGCCTTCCCCAGGGGAAGCAGTTCTGAGCCAGCAGCTGGCCGGCTTGGAGATCTTGGAGGTGGGTGAAGTGGATCAAAAGATCAAAAGATCCAATCATCCGAAGCACCCGTTCTGCGAGACACTGAAGTTCTGCTGTTTGTCAGGTTTGAGTCCCTCTTCTTTGGCCAGTGAAATTCTCATGAGTGTTTAGTTAAATCACCATTGTTTCTGGTTCAGTTAAATCCACATTTGTGTTGGTTTACCGACTCTGCTAATCATGGCTCATGTACAGATGATTTACCTATTACAAATGATGATTTTCTTTAGCTATCTTAAATCACCAGAGGATAACCTTCAACAACTTGGCTGTGATAGCCAAATACCACATTGTGCCACGGTCAAAAAAATACGGATTGTACACCCATATTTGGGCGTGGTTATCAAACCATTTATTATAGGGCTTTACAGTATATACGCACTCTTAGGATTCCAAAAATTCGAATGGACCACAACCATATACCATATTTTGATCATCACACATATCAACTTGGCTAGATATCATGCATCCCATCAAATATGTCCACTGGCTATATTCCGTTTCATGGTTTATGATACTGTACTGAGTGGTTTCATCATCACACGTACCAAGTGGACATTGCGTTATGGTTTCTCAGACCCTCCCAGTGCCTGTAACAATTGCTAAATGTCCCAAGTCAGAATGGGTATATTACCACATTTTTCTGGGTAATTAACCACGATGTTTCCCTTTTTATTGGTTGGTTGATAGGGATTCCCTTCGTGTATGCTAATATTCCCCAATCTATTGCCCCCTGGATTTTAGCTATTTTGGATCGCATGTGCACAAGTTGTCCTTTCTTCATTCAGCCTCGCCATTGCTCAAGTGGATATCCCCATTACATCACCTTTTTCATCCCAAATCCTGTTTTCTATCTCCGTTGGAATAGCCAAAAAAAATACGTCAAAAACTCTCAATTTTTATCGTCAGAACATGTCGTTCGAACTCTCCAGCTTGGGATGAAAAAAACACCAAAAACACCATGAGAATCGCCATGGAAATGATCAAGTTATACTTACTCGTGCGTCTGGTACAAGGTGGTGCCCCCCCCCCCCAGTTGTAAATGGGTTATAATCCCATAAAAAACTATAGTATAAAGCAACTTAGCTAACTATGGGGTAACACCTTGTAGGGAATGGATGGGTTGCTGGGGGTTGCTGGGATTAGTATTATTAATGATGAAATGGATCATTCCCGAAAATTCCCTACGTTTAGCACCATGAAAGGTATATGATGTTAAACAACATAATGACCCCATTTATCCCATGATAAATATTCGGTGTTATATCATCCCAGCATGATTTTTTCAGCCATTATGATGGTGTTATATTATACCATGATAAATCCCATTCAAACACCATGAAACATCCCATGATAGATCCCTTGATGAGCCCCATGATAATCATGATATAATTCACCATTCAATGTCATCGAACATCATCATTAAATCGCCACAACATCTAGGGCAAACAGCACCAATTTTTCACATATGGCCCTTTACCAGTTAGTACTAACAAAACCCCATTTATGGAATGTATCCCATTGACAACCAGTTATAGCAAATTCAATTTAAAAACTATAGACATATATATCTGATTGGTGGTTTGGAACATTGTTTATTTTCCCCAATAGTTGGGATGATGATCCAATCTGACTTTCATATTTCTCAGGCGGGTGACTCAACCACCAACCAGATATGTATTGAAAAATCATGCTTGAAATCCCATTTACAATTTAAAACAAACATGTTCTGAGAAATCATGTTCCAACCATCTTTTCCCCAACTGTTAATCTAACCATGCCATGTACCCATCCTTATTACCCAACAATTTCCATTTATTCATTTTCCATGATTTTCCAGTTGGTTTCAAATTGTAAGTTATTATAATACAGTAATCAACCAACTCTTGGGATAAACATATTCTGGTTGGTGCTTTGGAATATTTTCTATGAACTTCCATATATTGGGAATTTCATCATCCCAACTGACGACCTCATATTTTTCAGAGGGGTAGGTCAACCACCAACCAGTGATAGATCTTAGATTTCATCAATATTTGGATGTTAAACTATGACTTAGGACATATTTCAAGACTTACTATATCACTAGATATATTTCAGAGGGGTGGCTCAACCACCAACCAGATATAGTTAATGAATGGTAGATATGGTTATATCTATATAGTTAGTGGTAGATAACTATATCTATTTTGTAACTATATGGCCATTTTGGAACCATAGCAAATTGGATGTTAATGGGGCTTTATATTGCCAATATATTGGTTGTTACCCTCTGGTAATTTAACATAGCTATTGAAAATCACCATTTTTAATGGGAAAATCCACTATAGATGGCCATTTTCAATAGCAAACTGTTAGTTTACCAGAGGGTAATCCTCAACTGTGAATCCTCCTCCGCCGGACCCGAGGCCTGCGCCAAGTGTGGCAGCGCCTTCGCCGCGGATGCCAACTTCTGCCGCCGCTGCGGCGCCCCGCGCCCTGGTGGACCCGGACGGCCGGCGGCGCAGGTGGGCTTGGGACCTTGGGGGCTTGGGGGCTTGGGGTGGGGAGGGAAAAAACGTTGGGGTTAGCATGGAAAAATGATGAAAAATCATGGAACAATGATGAAACATCATAGAAAAATAATGAAAAAGGATGGCTTTAACGGCGAAATCGGTCACTTAGGTCGTTTTTGCAGCAAAAGTGGTGGTTTAACATGGTTTCACCGTTTCACCGACACAATTACCGTCCAAAATGATTCAACCAGCACAAGCGGGACTTGTCGTCCATGAGAAATTGGATTTCATGTAATTAGTCTGGTTTGTACATGTGTCAGTGTATTTGTTGAATGGGTTCGGCCCTTTGATCACGATGAACAATCCGTTGATCAATTTGAGAAGTGGGCCAGAGAGCGTAATCATCATTGAGAGTTTGTTGGAAAATTCAATGGTCCCAGCCACGATGAATTTCCTGGTTGTTGGCATGTCCACCAAGGGAACCGAAGGCCAGATCAGAACGCATGAGGCAATGACTGGGCCATAAAGCTGCCAGCGCAGCTCCAAAATGTCGAACGTGCAGATGTGAACCAGACAGAAGCGAAGGAGAGCAAGAATCCAGGAGCCAGTGAGAAACCATGACGACCTTGTGAGATTTCTGAGCTGAGTGTCCAAGTTGCCTTCAAGTATCTGTGAGTGGCGCTTGTTAGTGTTTGAATCTCCTCAACAGAAGTTCTAACGGAACAAGAATGAAGGAAAAAACAAAAGTTTCCACATGTTTGCTGCTTCTCCTTGTTCCTGTAGTGACACCAATGGATAAGCTCTTGATTTGGGATGAATTGGGTTTGAAAATTCATGGAGTACTCAAAAATCCACTGGTTGATCACGTTGATCATCATTTTACCATGCAAAAATGGCCACGAAGGCCGGTTCGGCCAAGAAACCTCGCTCCACCCGCTTGGCTTGCGGAAGTATGGAGGGTGAGGTAATCTCTGGCGTTTTTTACGGCACAGGGCAGAGATTTTGACTTCTGTGTATGGGTCAAGTATGGTCAACAAAAGTGTTGGTGCATGTTATGACTGGTCTGCGTATGAGTGTTCTGTGGTAAAGTGGTGGTTTTCTGTGGTAAACCCAAACATCCAACCGTAAAACAACCCAGACCAGAACCTTGAAATGGTTTCAAACATGGGCCCTTCAACAGAGCTTGATCTAAATACCTCCAATATTTTATGATCGGGCCAAGTGAGATATTCAGAGAGCCATCCAGTTCAGGGATACCTAAGCACTTGACCCATAGCCATATTGGTATGATGTTGCGCGTCCCAGATGGATTTGTTTGGCAATCAATTAGTGGGGCAACTACAGCAGCCCCCAGATAGAAAAGTATATAATATCCTAAGTGAATGTCAAGTTTCTTTTGAATCTTTTTGGTGTCTCTCTCTCTCTCTCTACATATGTAATTATACATATAATATATGATATATATAATATATGTATAAATACACATATATGAATGAAAACATGAATATTAGTGACAACCATTCTTTGGGGAAAGAAATCGCTATTAGGGTAAAGCAACTCTGCAGTCGTTGATGTGTTTCACCCAGAAATGGCTGGCCGATTCTTTATTTCGGGTGATGCCCCGCCCACAGTGACATTGGAGAGTGAAACTCATTGCTGTGGGCCAAGATGGAAAATCTCATGACGGTGCTGAATATGGACTTGTGGGCTCTTCTCGGATAACCCAACTCCCACGATTGTTGCTATCCCTTCTAACGCACCGTCAAAACTTTGGGAATGATTAAATCGTGTTTTTTTCGTCAACACTGGGATTTCACCATGACAAACGATGATTTTTTCATCAACGTCCTTGGGATGGTCAGCATGCAGCAATTCATTAAGATTTCTGGATGGACGACCCGCACCAGTGACGGGATGCGACAAGTGGATGCTGGATGATAGGCCATGGGCAACCTTACGTTCATGTGACCTCGTCCAAGCATGGCTGGTTGGTGGAAAGTGGCTGTCTAGAGCTTGCCAGATGTTTTTCAAGCCGTTCTAAACTTGATTCACCTTGGTGCTCCCACGGAGCGTATTACTATTTACAATATGTTTTTTTGTTGAGTGCACGCACATGTTTTTTTTTCGGATCACAACTTTGGAGAGTCAACTGCAGGGTACTGGTCGTTCATCAGGAGCATGTTGATTGGGAAAAAATAGGACCAGGTATTCTGATGAAACACTGGGGATTTAATATTGGATATAACATGATATAAGCAACAATATGAATTGAGTTTGTCCGAAAATGGGGTATATCTAGCCCACAAAAAAGTTGCAATTTCAATGGCGAAAATTATGGTGGACATCTGGAATTTGAATCAATGTTCACATACAAACCACTCAGTGGTTTTAAACACTTCTTCTTTTTCAAACCCTGCGATGATTCAAATTGACTCTCACATTTTCGGGCAGGGGTGAAATCACAAGCAGAATCATCATCATCATCATCATCATCATCATCATCATCCAGCCTTGCAGAGGTTGCAGGTTGCCTATGGACATTTTTCCAAGATTCTCAAAGCATCTCTGACCGCTGCAAAACCAACAGAAAGCGGGGAACCGCGGCTGCGGCTCGTGTCAAAGCACAAACGTTTGAGGATTGGAGGCCTCTCCCCATTGCTTGGTGGGAGGCTCCACAGCTCTCAGGTGGACCACCTGTCCACTGGAACCTCTGAACGGATTGTGCTGCGAGGTGTACAAAAATTGGGTGCCGACTGCACCAATGATGTCTTAGAGTGCGGAAGTATGACACTTTTTGATACATCAGATCTTGTAGTGACAGTATGTATGTAACAGTCATCTTTTGTGTTCAACTATAGTGGAATTTCTGGACCAAAGAGAGCTCAGGGCGACTTTCATCCTCCAAATCAGAGGTAGCTTCCAGGGGAGTTGTCAATCGCGATGCATTTGGGATGTTTCTGGAAGAGTCTTGGCTCAAAGATCGGCTTATACAGTAGCGGCTCGGCTTATACAGTAGCGGCTCGACTTGCATCACTCCCGATGAGCGACTTGCACCTTGTTCACGCCCTTGGTTTGGACGCTCCTCCGCGAATGCACATTGACCGTGGCCCAGCAGCTCCAATCTTCGTTCCTCGGTGGAACCGTCCGCCTGCGCCCGTGGTGCAAGGAGGCAACGGTGCTGGGCACGTCAATGTTGTCGAGGCCAATGTCGGCGAGGCCAATGTCGGCGCGGCCAATGTCGGCGAGGCAGACCTTCAGTCCCCCGCTGCGGCCCCCGAAGGTCCCGCCGGCGACGGCGTGGGATCGTTGGTTTCTGCAGAAAGCAGTGGTGTCCATGGCACCAAACCGGATGATCCCCCAGCGCAGCCGGAAGATTCCGCGGGTGCAGGTGTGCAGACAGAAGCGAAGGAGGGCAAGAATCCAGGAGCAAGTGAGAAACCATGAGGACCACTTCCGAGCTGGGTGTTGACGATCAGGAAAAGTTGCCGTCAGTGTTCTTGAGTGCCTTTTGAATCTGCTCAGAGCATTTTAAACCGAATGAGAATGAAGAAATACAAACAGTTTTAACACCTTTGCTGTTTTTTTCTTGTTCCTGTAGAGACATCAATGGATGAGCTGAGGATTTGGGTTTGCTTGAAGATATGGTACCCAACAAAAATCCCTTGGTTTATCACGTTGATCATCATTATTTTCAGTCCAAGGCTTGGCCAAGGAAACCGGTGGCTCATCCGCTATTTTTTCCCTCGATTTGCTCAACTATAAAAGGTGGCGACAATTCGATCAGGAAAGGCTGCTTCCAGTGTTTTTTTTTCCTGGCTAGTGCTTGAATTGAGAACAATCAGTCTCATCAGCTCTGGTTTGTGTTCATGTATACTAGGTATACTGACAGTGACAACATGCAACTTCGCCACTGGAAGCATTGTGAGCCCTGCTTCGGACTTCGGACGTCATATTCTTATATATTCTTCATACTTCCGTATACTCCCTCCCCTAATCCGTTCATTGTGAGGGCCTATTTAGGGAGATTGAGGGAGGCACGGGAAGCAATGATCTCGTTGGATTTGTCTCGAAATTGGGAACCCCACCCCACCCCATGGTTTGAATTACTTCGAGTGATCCCGACCAACTGACATTAAGAATTCTTACATTTGATTTGACATTCTATCTGACCTAAATGCTAGCATTCTATCTGGCATTTGACACTGTATCTGACAAATATTTTGACATTCTACTTGGCTCTTTTGTCTTCGATATGACAGTTTATTAGACATTCTATCTTGCATATGTTCTGACATTTTATTTGACACATACCACAGGTATGCTGCCGTTCTATCAGGCGTTATTCTAGCTGACATATATTCTGCATGTGATTTGGCATTCTAGCTCACGTATGATATTCAGGCGTTCCATCTGGCATTTTATCTGGCATTCTGACACTCTACAGTTGTGGCCATTTATTAGTTACAACTGGTTATAAATGGGATTATACATTCTATAAATGGGGTTATAAGTACTTATAACTGGTAAAGGGCCATAACTGTATCTGACATTTTACGTGTACTTGACTTGACAGTCCATCTGGCATACTATGGTGGAGCCCAGAGAGCAAAGGCATGTTTTTTTTCCTTCGGCAGGGGCAAAATCTGCATCCCGTTTTTGTTCTGGATATCATTGGGGGATATTGTATGATATTGTGGGGTGCAGAATTTTGAGACATTTGTTTTTAGACTCTGGGATGTTGTCCGACAGCTGCGGCCGCACATGGAGAGAATCGCGGCCAAAGACACTTGAGTAGCTGACGTTTGAAACGATGGGTACGTGATCAGTACACCCCTCAAATTCACATGCAACGCAAACAATGAACATGGCCAGTCTGGGGTTCCACGCTACGTTCAAGGGGTGTATCCTTTCATGAAGTAACATATGCAACGTGGCAAGACACCGCCTTCCTTGATGGTAAGGAACATTACACAGTAAACATGGGCGTCATGGGTGGTTGATTCATCAAAAAGGGGTATGGACAGCGATCATTTGATAGGGATTATAATAACAATCATACAATGGGATGCCCATGCGCCACTATATCTTGTCAGTGGCTCATATGTTTATTGCATGAGGAGTTTTGCCTTGATTCTTAACAAAACTTTGTGTGTAGACTTTGGCCGTGCACGCCTCTGATATAAGTGGCTGCGGGACATTTGGCCATGGGCAATTGCCGCTGGTGAATATCAAAAAAGGTGGAAGTTATGCGGGGTCCATCCCCACCAAATATTTTTTATCATAGGTTTTACGGTTTTAGCATGTTTTAACCATCCCCGGATAATCAGGAGAGAAATTGTCAGCATCAGCTCATCGTCAGATTAAAACCCCTTCACTCGGAGGTCGGTTGCCTATGCAAATCTCACACAGCGACCATTTCGTGCAGTGGTCAAGCGAAAAAGTGAAGGTGACATTGTTTCAACGCGTTGCAGTAATGTACACGAATTTGGAATGACGGGGCGAACGAGGTACTACGATGTCAATCAAACATGGCATGATTTGGTGGAATTTTGGTGGAATTTATGTGTTTTCAAAGGCGTTCTATCCATCCAATGACCGCTGCAAGACCAACAGGAAGCGCTACATGAAGCGCAGCAGGAACCTAGCAACGGAGACAGCCGTTGCGCTCCTGTGCCATCACAGCTTTCATTCAGCCCACTTCAGCCCCATGCTTCATCCAGACTCTCAACTGTTGACGAGCCTAAATCTGTTTTTTTGAAGCATCCACCCCAAGTACCTCTGGTTGGGAGGCATGCAGTGTGCTCATAGTGCGCGATCCAACGGCGATTTAGTTCGGTGAATTGTAGTTCCGGCGTGAAAATTTGGGGTGTTTGGCTGCGATGCGAAGTCATGGAAGCCAACAATCCCAACAACGGAACATCCAGTACTCAAGTTATCTTTGTGATCTAATTTTCGAATATTTTCGAGGGATGATTTGTTTGGTGCCTCCTTTGACATGGTTTCGATGTTAGACAACCACTTGGCCAACTCCATGCCAATGACACAAGTTTGGTTGCCGATGGTCGCCGATGTGAAGACACACCAGCAGGTGACCTTTTTGAGCTCTGACGGAGTTTGCAGGAAATCTCTATATGATGAGCAAACATATGATGTCCTGCATTTTTTGCGAACTAAATTAAACCCATCCATTGGTTAAATTCAGGGCTATCTTTGGTAAAATTTAGGTTTGTGATGTTTTATGTTCACCTTTCCAACTGTAGATTTATCCACGGTAGATCCACCCATTAGCTTCTGGCGATAGGCAACGACGTCTCCATGCCTTGTGGGCAGCGTGGGCAGCGTCGGCACCGGCCATGCCTCTCCCGGCAGCTTCAAGCTGGGGCCCAAAGCATTGGGATTGAACGAACCCCATCCTGCCAATATTCAAACACCCCTTTTCTACTCTGGATGGTTGCGAAATCCTGCATCACCAAAAGGATGGTTGAAAGATGCTTACCACCGTTTTCAACTGGTGATTCGGATTTCGCAACCATCCACTGTATGTCCCAAATATGTGTAAATATGTGTAAATCTTTTATATACTAAGCCATGGTTTCTGGGAGGGGTCTTTTTCTGTTGGGGGGATGGGACAGGCAAAATATGAGGGTGTAACCAGCCAATAATGGTGCGACCAAATCTTCGTCCAATATGGTTCTTTTAGTTGAATATGCAACGTGGTCCCAATTTGGAATGGATGAAAGCTGAGACTGATTGAAGTGGATTTGATGTATGATATGGATTTATGAAAACCAATGCATTTGGCTGGTGGTTCCAGATATTCGTTTTTGTTGTCGCCCGTACGCCGTAAAATATTGGTAAACTTTTCGAAACTGACTAAGATTTATCATGATTTATCAGGTGTATGATGGGTTGCAACCACCAACCAGCGAGGTGTCGACCACAAACATACTGGGATCTGGGGGGTTTAAGTCTCATGTTTGTTCAATCAATGTGGATAGATCTCTTACACTCAATGCACTGCATATCTTTGAGCGCATCCTCTTTCCATGTTTCACCAAGTCTCAACCCCGCGCAACTCCTCTCACATGTTTCCTCCACAACGACACTCAGGTGGCAGATGAGATAACGAGAGCTGGATCAAAGATATATCCAGCCCCCGAGCCGCGACAAACTGTTCACCAATGGGAAATCCGCAGTGATTTGCGGCGGTTTGTCTAGCCCAGTCGACGTGCAGGAATGGGGGTTGTATGGGCTGTGTGTGTGTTTTTTTTGGTACCGAGGTAAAATCAATACACCAGCCATGTAACATCATGTAACATCCAATATATCCAGTGAAAAAAAGACATGGCCTTTTTAAAATCGGATAATTATCACATCTTCACGTTTTTTCATGTTCCCAATGGTGACCAGCTGACATGGCAAAGTTCTGGCTAATGCGCCTCTCGTCTCTCCGAGATTTGGAAGGACGTATACATTGGTTGCGAGACAGCACTGCGAAAGTTGGTGCTTGCAAAATGTCGCAAAATCATGGAGAAAGAGAGAACGAGAGAGAGAGAGGAAGAGTTTTCTGAGATGTCTATATATTCATCAACACATCCAAAGTATGGTATATCAAGTGTAATTGTATATAAACAGCAGCCGCTATCAATAGAAAACAATATCAATGCTTCATTATCATGAACTAAAAACAATGAAGAAAACCGTATGAAATGGATTGATGATCATCCCCCAATATGGGCAAATCGAATCCAACCTATAACAGTTATGTGATCATCTTGTGATCTCGGCTATCCATTGGGCACAGGCAGGCTTCAAGATTGCGGATCTGCTAGCGGCAGGCCGTGGAACGGGCCCCAAAGTGTTGAAGTTTCTTTAGTCATATGGCCATATGGATCCATATGGTCTTTTATCATGTTTTATCACAATCAACAATCAACAAATGAATAAACAAATATATATATATGGTTTATCACCCAAAATATGACACAATTGTATCCCCACTCTGTGTTTTAGTCATCATATTTATATTGAGTTTCTTGTTCGTCAATGTGTGGGTATGTTTGGTTTCCCATCAAATTTATCTGTGCCTTGCCAAGGATGGACCGATGAACATCTTGGGACCGGATAACCCCATGTCAAGTTCTTCCAACAAGCAGCAAAAGAACGGTAAAGATGGCATGGGAAATGCAGGAAAGAGAAAAGGGATGGTGAAGGATTGGTGTGTGCAACAAGGAACCTGTGTGTGAGTAAGTTGTGTGTGAGGAAGTTGTGTGGTGATAAGTTGTGTGTGCGGTGTGTGTGTGTGTGGACCATGAGCTAAACAATTCTGTTACCCGACTGTTACTCGATTAAGTGAAAATGTCCCTGCCTGGAGCGAAAAGCACATGAATAGCACATCAGGCGAAATGGCTAGACGACAGCATAAATCATTTCGACAGACTCTCCGGCTACCTCCTCACACGGCGTGTGAAGGTGGCACCAAGTGCCATGCCTACCACGCAAAGTGAAGGTGGATGTCGCCAAGTGCCACGCCTACCACGCAAAGTGAAGGTGGATGTCGCCAAGTGCCACGCCTGCCGCGCAAAAAGCCGCGGCCTCCACGGCGTCATCTGAGAACCAAGCGCGCCAGCAGAGCACCAAGTGCCACACCTGCCACGCAAAGTGAAGGTGGATGTCACCAAGTGCCACGCCCACCACGCAAAGTGAAGGTGGATGTCGCCAAGCGCCACGCCTGCCACGCAAAAAGCCGCGGCCTCCACAGTGTTATCTGGGAACCAACCCAGTGCCATAAGTGCCACGCCTGCCACGCAAATTGACGGTGGATGCCACGCCTGCCACGCAAAGGTGGATGTCACCAAGTGCCACGCTTACCATGCAAAGTGAAGGTGGATGTCGCCAAGCGCCACGCCTGCCACGCAAAAATGCCACGCAAAGTGGAGGTCCATGTCGCCAAGTGCCACGCCTACCATGCCATAAGTGCCACGCCTCCCACGCAAACTGAAGGTGGCTGTCACCAAGTGCCACGCCTGCCACGCAAAGTGAACATGGACAAGTTGTGTGTGGACAAGTTGTGAAGGTGGACAAGTTGTGTGTGGACAAGTTGCGTGAGGAAGTTGTGTGTGGACATGTGTGGACAAGTTGTGTGTGGACAAGTTGTGTGTGTGTGTGAGCAAGTTGTGTGTGGACAAGTGTGTGGACAAGTTGTGTGTGGGCAAGTTGTAGGAGGAGGAGGCGGGAGGAGGAGGAGGAGGAGGAGGAGGGCCGGAGGCGGGAGTGCAGAACCAAAAACAAGAACCCCACACAAAGATGTGGGGAAAAACACGACATGGAATTCGATTCATTATATTATATATAATATATTTATTATATATAATTACACATGGTGGATTTGTATATATATATATATATACACCAGTTTTTCGTAGCCATTTTGGCTCAAGATTTCAAAGCAATCTTTGCTTGCTTTCGCGACTTTGCTTTTTTTCTGTGCATCATCTCGGCTGCCATGGCTACTTTCGAACTTGTGCCAGATTTTACGGAATCCAGTGGTGAAAACGGGCCCGAATCCTTCGGTATATGGCAGCTGCAGGAGATCGCGCAGCTCCAGGAGGAGTCAAGTTATGCTTCACCCAGGAATACTTGGACGGCGCGAAGAGGAAGGTGAAGCGCACGGCAGTCAAGTTGGCGTTTTACCTCGCCATCTGCAACTTGGAGGCCTTGGCTTTGTCAACTGACCACGTGGGGATGAGCAAATGGCATCTCCTTTGCTTGATCCTGGTCTTTCGATACAAGCTCTTCTTGGTTCTCAAGCGCACAACAGCGCCTGAAGGCACGAGGATTCCGAAGGAGTCCGACGAGGCAATCCCGTCTGGCTTGGAGATTGATGACACGGACATAAAGTTCAACATCATCACCAAGGAAGCCCTGGCAGAGATGAATGTATACAAAATCTCTGGAGCGGCTCAAGGGAATTGTAGACCCTGCGGATAAAGTTCCGATTGAAAAGTTTCTCTCGGTCGAAAACCTCAGGTTGGCCATGGCGTTGATCTTTTCCCTCAAGATCAACTTCTACCAATCATCGTGTTGGTCAAGGAGAGTTCGTTGGGGTTGGAAGGAAGATGTGGAATTTCGCGTGCAATGCCGACAAGGGGACGGACACTGACCACACCCACAGCGCATACACGGACACTTGGAAGATCGGCCATATCTTCAGCACTTCTGGCGCTTTGGCCTACATGTTCGGGCATGTTACTTTGGCCCAGCATGCGCTTGCGATTGGAGGCATTGAGCCTGACCAGGACCTTGTGGTGAGGATTTGCCAGCCTCCTGCAAGCACGCGGAAGGTCTGCAACGTCGTCGTGGTTGGGCGCAAGATCGCTGCAAGCGCTTATGGCTTGGTGGTCCCTTTTGAGATCATCGACGTCTTTGTCCAGGCCCAGGCATACATGATTGGTGTGGCTGAAATGCCTTGGGCTTACCACATTGGAGCTGGATTCTTGATGTCTGGTGCCATCCCTGGAGAGCGCTTGGAGCAGCCTCCTCTGGATGAGGACATGGTGCAATGGTTTGTGCAGTTTGTGAATGGTCACTGGAACAAACGCAAGGGGCGACAAGCGCGGCACCTCGCCCAAGCCTGACGATGCTCACCCGGCCAAGATCGAGTTCCAGAATTCGAAGAACAGCATGATCAAGGTCGGTGGTGGCAAGGACGTTGCAAAGGCGATTGGCGCTGCGGGCACCAATGTTCAGACTGGCTGGGTGGACAAAGTGAAGGTCTACTTTGGTGGGTCTAAGGCCAAGGTCGACGCGATCAAGAAGTCCGTGGACAAAAACAAGAAGAAGGAGAAAAAGAAGGCTCGCAAAAAAGCCAAAGCAGCCGGAGAGGAATTGTCAGCAAGTGAAGAAGAGGAGGACGAATCTGATGAAGCTGACGATGGGGCCTGATTGCACGCTATGGTCGCGATAGCAACTTGGGGCGATGCCGAGGACACACGTCGTGTCTAGCGCTTGAGCCGAGGCCGGGGCATTGTCAAAAAAAAAGGAACCTTTCGCACTGCACGTGCGAAAGAATACCCTGTCTCTTTGTGCAGAAGTTTTGCTGCAGCTTTCCGGCGCCAAATGGGCACCCGCTTGTCTGACCCACGGTGTGGCCCACTGGATCCTGTGGCTGTTGAATTGGCTTCCATCTCTGGTCAAGTGGATCTTACCAGGGCTATGAAGCCGGACTATCAGCCGAAGCGCTGCTCAGTCGCAGCATGAGCGCCGTGAGATCATCTCAAAAGGACGATGAAAAAATATACCAGTTTGATCCCTTTTCTTATATCTTCATTGTTTCAATTCTACATTTATGGGTGATGCTTAAGTCAGCTTAACCATAGATATACACATATAATAGTTAGTTAGTTTGCGTCCAAGTTTGTCATTCAGTGTGTGGAGTTCTCTAATCTACTTCGTAATGTCCGCGTCCCCTATGTTGTGGATGATATGTTGATATGTGATGCAAGTGGATTGTTTATGCATCCTATAGGATTTCAATGGATTCAGGCAATGTACTAAGGAACTGAGAGGAAGTGCATGTGCTGTGTGATGCACTTCATTTAATATGCCACATAGTGTAATGCATGTACGTTCAATTAATACAAATTAATAGAATCGTGTACATAATATGTATCCTTGTGTGTGTGCGCGCTTGTGACACAGTTTCCCCGCCAACCATGTTGGAGTGGTTATTTTTCATGGGATATCGGCGTGGGATCAGGTGCCTCTGTCAAGAATCTGCGAACAGCAGGGTCGGAATGGGACTGGTGCCGGTGCCAGAGGTTGTTAGCTAAGTTTGTTTATGATGGTTGATGGCTATTAATACAACTCAGGTTGTTAGCTAAGTTGGTGTATAACTATTAAGAGAACTCGACTATTTGGGGTTATTTTCGCCAAGCTGGTACCTACATCGGAGACAGCCTGGCCGCCTGGATTGAAAAAACCCACAGAGTTCTGGCGTGAAAATTTTGCTGACATCCCAGCTGGGTCAGGTGGTCTCCCATCTGGTGATTTCACATAGCGAACTGGAAAATCCCTTATCAATGGAGGTTTTTAAAGCTGGGAAAATCATCGAACTAAATGGGCCATGGTTCCCATGGCTATATGTCAAATAACCAGGGGGTAATTCATGTTTGAAACCCCCCTTTTTTGAAGATGGTGAATATGGTGATGGGTCAACAACCCAAATGATGTATATCTCGGGGATCAACATCATTGACCACATTCTGATGGTCACAGTACCAGGGTCTTGATCCATAGCCTTTTGTGGGATTGCCAGGAACGGGGCACCGTCAGATCATCTCAAATTCAGAGGGTGACTTAAATTTTGATCAAACTGATTCCTCCATTACTTGATGACCATTGATTGGAGCATACCTCATTTCTGCCCTAATTTCTGCGCTAAATAGTTTGACTAGTTTGATTCCATCCCCCATGTGTTCTTTGAAGTTGAACTGCAAGAAACTTATGTTCTGTTTACCCAGGTAGGTATCCCCCAATGGGAGGTGCCGTGGAGGTTCAAACCAGAAATATGTCAGTTATTTCTATGTATTGTTCTTCTGTATGGTGGTTCTCCCCTTTCTTTATGTAAACTCTTGATGAACATGAGATTCTTTGGAACTGGTTGATCTTCAAATCCGGGATTTTTATCATGTGTCCCCATTAAAGTCGCCATGTTTGGCTACACCCATTTTCAGACACACCGAAATTTCATGTACGGTACTTATCGTTTATATACCGTATGTTACATTTTTCTCATATCATATCCCCTTATTGTTTTTTTTTTAGATCCCAATGCTATTCCCAAATCTTATGGTTTAAATTAATGTGTCAAATACTGTAGGTCTACATAGATCCAAAGATGTATATATATATATATATGTATGTATGTGTATGTATGTATGTATGTATGTATGTATAGACATCCCATGATATTATCATTCTATCCTCATAAACTGGCTGGGTACCATCCTTCTAATTCACCTTGTCTGACAGTTGCTCGTTGCCAAAACCGCTCGCCAGCTTCACCGATACGGCCTCCGTGGCGGCTCTGCGGAAGCTGCGGGTGGACTGCCGCGGGGGGATCAAAGGCGACCAGGTATGGTGGGCCACCTGATTTATGTTGGCTTTAGATGGATTAATTAGTAGTTATTAATAGCAAATATATATATATATATATCCTTATATTTATATTTATATTTATATTCATTAATATATCTACTAATTCTTGGATTTGGATCTATCTGCAGATTCTGATTGGCAGTGGCTCTGATATCTTTTACCCATAGGGCTTGTGTTTTGTTCATGATATACACACCTTGTATCCGTTACAGGTCCCACTACATACTCGCTGAGTAATTATGTTGTTTCTCTGTCAGCATTTCAAACGTAAGTGTACATGTTCACCCGTAGCATCCAAACACGACTTCATGCCATCTAAACATCTCCCTAAGTTTCGTCATCAATCTCAAAAAGCTCTCTGGAACCGGGCGCAGGTTGAAGCATGGAAGATGAAGTTAGGCTGCTGGGTGAGGACTTGAGAAGTGGCCCCCACTAGGGATAGTAAGGCCAGAAAAGAAGATGCAACCATACCATGTTCCCGAAAACAAAAATAAATATGGACACCCACCATGTGTCTATAATTATCCTTTGCAACCATAGGCTTTCCATGTGTATGTCAGTTTACCCCCAGGATATGGTGGCAACTTCAAACGACATCACTGGATAGTTAGGAGGGGATAATAACCCAAACAATATCCAAATGTGTTTCGTATCATTTGCATCTTACTGGTGCTTAGTAGGGAATGGATGGGAATGGGGGAATGGGATGATTATTGCTAGTGACTATGGATCATTCCCTCATTCCCTGCTAAGCACCAGTAAGGCATGGTTATTGATCAAACTGGGTGCCAAGCATGGGTAGCCGCTCACCGGCGAAATTCTTCACCTGCATGCATGCCAGCCACGAAAATTGGTGGTATCACCGCGATTTGTTAGTAATGCACCTCATCAATATCCATCTTTTCCCATGAAGACCATGAAGTCAATGGCCATTTCAGGAACCTAAATTGGAGGTACCTACCATATAAGGCCTATATAAGGCCTATGTAAGGGAATATCCCCACAAAATATAGCCTTATATGGTACAGTACCTTCATTTTAGGATCCTGAAATTCCCATTGATGAAGTAATTGTCACACTGCCTCAGGCGGTTTCAGCTTGTCAGACCTTCGCAATGGAGGTGCCATGGGGGAACAGGGAAACAAGAATTTTGGTTTTAACCATCTCAGTCACCAGTTATAAGTTGCTTTTAACCCCAGTCATGGAATGATCACCAAATTTACAACCGACCACTTATATTTGGTAAAGGGCTTTAACCATGAAGAGTTTGTATTTGCTGATTTTGTTCTTTCCATCGGTTAACCAACCATTTTGGGGAATCTACTTTTTGGATCTTTTTGGCGATGGCCCTGAAGCAAATCGACGTCAAGAGTCGGGATTTCACGTTCAAGCAATTTAATGGCAAGACATTCAAACCACCAACGATTTTCTCGTTAAAAACCCAGCAGTTTGAGACAGTCTCCGGGGATGAGCACCTCTCGGGGACATCTCCGAGGGCTTCCGCTCCCACCATGATTCATGTGCTGCATGTGCAAAGAAACGGTGGAAACTGTCATGGTCCAAACAGACAGTGCTCCTTAAATGCTCATAGTTTTTTAGTTGTTTTTATTTTCTTATCACCGTATTATTCTCCATTCAGATGGCAATGTAATGTGGGGTATCTCCCATGTGTTGACACCAGTATATTGGTCCTTTCCTGTCATGTTCTTCAGACGGTTATAGCCCTTGCACAGTTATAAGTGACTTAGGAAACCTCATTCAAGTGATATCTTTCACCTTAGTTGAAGGAATTATTTCATCCCATGGCCATTCACCTGTTGGCTGAGTTGGCGAGCATAACTCCAATTTCACTATGGCTTAAAACACTTATGACGAAGCAGTCATGGAGTTTTGTGAACTTTCTAAATCACTTGGGAGCCCCAGATGGCCATCCCTCACGGCTTTTCCCGAGGCTACTCCTCGGCGGAGCTGCGAATTGCAGGCTTCTCTAGCGTCCGCCCAGCATGGTTGAGCTGGGGCAAGTGACAAATGGGTATAACCATGGTATAGCCATGGTTTTAAACCCAACAGGTTGGATGGTTGGGTGTAACCTCTACAACTATGGTTAATATATCCACTGAGAACTTGCAAATATACCAGTACTTCAAATGTTGATGTAGATGAGTGTATATACACGTGTCGTATACCGGATGGCGGTTGAAAAAATATGAAAAACATCATGCACAGAACGCGATGTTGTCTCATTTTATATGGAGTACCATCCTGCCATTGAAGATGGACCGCACCCACAAAAAAGATTCGGAATGCGGAACATTGATTTCAAAAGGGACATGGCGGGATTTTAGTTCAATCCTGATATTTTGATGGCGCACCTCTTACAATCGTAATCAGCTATCGTGGTTTTACTCCAGGACGGCTGATGCCAGTTGTTTGAACATCAACCTTGAACTGTGGGGTGTATCGTTGTATCGTTCACGTTACCTCTTTGAAGTTTTTGTTCAGTCTAGGAATACGGGAAAAGACGCGGGGACTAGCACACACAGATATATGCCCATCGGAATTATTGTTGCCATTCTTATATCCCATCAATAACCATTAAATCAGGGAATAGAAGTACTTCATATGTTCCGATATATCTGGCTGATATTCCCGTATATATATATATATATTAATGTACTTCAATGTGCATCCCATCAATAACCATTAATATAAGTATATTTCATATCCCATTAATAACCATTAATATATGGGAATATCGATGTACTTCCATGGTTGCCTTTTGCTTACAATCTGCTCCACCGTGGACTCGTGGCCAGATATCTCCAGTAAGGTTGTTGAGCGGGTTCCATCCCCAGAAAAAGGGGTTTCCATAGTCATGTGGCTACCCCAATCGCTGGATAGTTTCTAATGGAAAATCCGAAAATGACATGGATGATATGGGGGTACCCCTATGACTTAGGAACCCCTCATATATCTTCTGGATGAACGGTTAATGACATCACATCGTGATGGTTTGATTGCGAGGAACCATCCCCTAATGCCCCTAAGTTTCAGCTATTTTCAGGCTATTTCAGGTTAGTGAGTTTTTCTAATTCAGCATATTTCTTGTTGATAGCCTCCTGACGAAACTGTGGACGCTTTGTTTGTTTACTAAAATCTCAGGTCTTTGTTACCCTAGGATAACGACAGGCGAAAGAGTTTCCAGCAACCAACACCATGTCCAGTGACTTTGGAAGTGTGGAAAGGAAATGTGCTCCTTGCAAAAACGTTTACAGTAGTGCTGCTTCCAAAGGCGCATTTGTTTCAAAAAGTGCGTCAAGTTGTGATCGCGAAAGCCAGCTGCCTTTGATATTCGGACCAGAACTGCCTTATTTGGTCGTTGGGGCAGTCTAGCGTTCGTTGACTGTGGAGCAGTGTGCAACATCAGTGCCGTTTGTCGCTGTCACAAGCTTGTTTGAGTCTATGTGCCAGCTCTATGTACATGTGTTGCAATACCATCCAATGCAGGAAACTGACCACGTTTTGCCATTAAGCTCAAACAAGCCCTTTGGAAACACAATGGAGATGCATTGGCCTGTTGCTATTAATGATCAAGATTATTTTCCTAGGGAAACCAAGGGTTTTCCACATCTTTCAGCCGCCAGGACAGTTTGGCTGCTCTCGAGAAGTCTCTTTGCGCCGGATTTTGGGCTTTCCAGGATCTTAACTTTCAGAGAATTGTTTTCTTAGTTTGTGTTTTAAGAAGAAACCACTACCACAATCTACCAGAGTTTTAAGTTTAGAGTGCTTTTCTTGTTGTTGGTGTCAACAATGAAACACATGTCGACGTATGTGTTCTAACTGATCAAGCGTGCACATCTTTATGTTCTTCAAGACAAGGTGTGTTGTGCTTGATACTTAATCAAGTTCATTTAGTTCACTAACCCAACTAGATTTATGTGATGAACATACTAATAGTTGGATGGGGTCATAGCCTATCCCATACCTGCAATCCAGCTGAAGCGGCTGAGCATATTTAGTTCTACAAGGTGGTGTGGTGTATAGCGTTCTTCTAAAAAGATATAAGTGAGTTGGTTTATAAACCCAGTATAACCCAGTCAACTATAGTTAACTACTGTGTAATTTGTATATACGTTTGTGTGTACACCGTGCACCCTACATGAGTTTTTTGTTTTCTCGCAATTCAGCTGAACTGCGGAGCCACCTTATAAGACATACCCGCCTCCTGTGTGGTCCCAAAATGGGAGGGGATATCACATGGAACATCCGAAAGTAAAACGGATGATATGGGGGTACCACTGTTTTGCGCCCCCATATGGTAATCTGGGTTTTGACTTGCCCCATTTGCGATTCCTTTTGAGAAGATAAGTGAAGCTTCAGCTTGGGAGTCTCCCTTGAAATCCCCACAAAGAACAAACGTCATCAACTACGCTTTGGTAGTCTAAATAGATCTGGAAAGCGGTCATTTTTTAATGAACAAATATTGTATCTAGAAGCGGGCCATGTTTCATGGCAACATTAGATTACCACAGGGAAACATAATAGCATGAAGCCCTTTCTATCACCAGAAGTTCTGCAGCATCAACCGACTTCCTCCAAAACCGCTGCATCATTCTCCCGCAGCAGTTTAATTTACGCAGATCGAGTTGCAGCCCTTAAGGGGCGCTGGCAACACACATCCATATGCATATCGTGCGGCCGTGATGCATGTCGACATCCTTGCCTGATTTGCATAGCGAGGCGCCATGCTCCATTTTTTCCGTCGTCGGTTCCCCCAGTTGTTTTCTGAGTGGTGGTTTGGAACATTTTTTATTTTTCCATATATTGGGAATTTCATCATCCCACCTGACGAACTCATATTTTTCAGAGGGCTGGCTCAACCACCCTTTTTTTTTCCCAGCCAAAGCCGCCATGACTTTCCGTCATGACAGGCCGTCCATCGGCCGGGGGGGTTCTTCAATTTGAACAAAGACACCAAGCTGCGCTCCATCAATCTGGAGGATTTGAGAGGCGAGATCTCGAGGAGGAGAACATGATAAGAGTGTGGAACGGCCCTTATATAACAGCTGAATGGCAACAGTTATGGCCATGGGATGATACATAACTCCTGCAACTGGTTGGTGAAAAACATCACTAACATGAGGTTTTCTGAGCCAGTTATAGCTGTTAAGGCTGTTAAGGGCTATAACTGAAATAGAGACTGGATGTGGGAGATTGGGTGCAGCAACATCATGTGAATCATTATTGGATGTGGATATTTGGTGACAGATGAGCCA